ACTCCAAGTGAAGACAATGGAGGCTGTCAAGCACCCTTCAAAGAGTCTCCACTGTGAAAGCTCTCTGGCCCCGATCAAGTTAGTGCTGCTGTGTATGGAGCTCTGGGGAAGCAATCACTGCTCAGGCAGTTAGCTGTCCACTTGTGAACGTCAATTCAGAACCAATAAGGAAACACTGCCTCTACCACTCTCTACCCACAGGAAACGCAGTTTCTAAACTCTGGCAAATATTCAGTTGGGTCAATGTGTAGGCCTTATGCTTCTAGGTCCTCTTAAGTCCTGAGAAAAATTCCTGGCCTCTGAACGTAACTTTTGCAATTATCCTGAAGTGTGCTCCATCAGGAGGAAAAGGACAAGTGGCAGAACCACAGATTATTTGTTCCTGTCACTGCTCGTCTCCAGCACCAGGAGCTGTAACACAGCCAGACAGTGGTCCCACCAGGAAGAAAAATAAGTCTGGGAACAGCTTAGCACCCTCCATGGGCATCTTTCTGTCCATCTGCTAATCATCTCCATCCTGTCCTACCCAACTCTACGTGGTACTGTGAAGGGTACCGTTTCTGGGGTTCCACGTGGCCCAAACCGGGCCAGAGTCCTGCCAAAGGGTTTTCCAGACAGAAAGGGAGGGAGGTGTGGCATGAAGGAAAGCTATCCATAACGAAGACATGTGGACAGGGTACCTCAGCCCTTCTTTCTGTAGAGAGTGAGGCAGGAAAGAGGCTGCCCCAGGCCCCGAGAATGGCTGCATCTCTACCCACCTGAAGAACGTACACCCTCCTGTGGCTCAGATTCTGAGCTCGTGCCAGGATCAGTCAACCTCTGTTCTGGCTCATGTTAAAGATGGGTTTCTGTCACTTGCGAGGGCACAAATCTTGACAGCCAGCACAGGAGCCTGGAGCCTGCTGCATATGTCTGAAAGAAGGTTGGCCTACTATCTTGGCTGTCTTGTATCTGACACAAACACTATTTACTATTTATTTACTATTTACTATTTATGTTTCCAGATGCCGGGAAACATAAAGATGAGAGACAGAGTCTCTGACCTCAACTACTCTCCTGTAATCCAAGCCTTAGAGAATATACTTCCAAGAGGAGTAACCTTTCAAGTCAGTAGGATCTAACACCTAAGAAGAGAACACGACTGAAAATGGTCCACAGTAGACTGTTCATTCTTTTGAGTGAATGACCAGGCTACAAGCAGAGCAGGAAAAAAGAGAGGCCAGAAGAACCTCAAAGTACTGTACACGCACAACCTTAAGAGCAGTAGAATATGCCAACTGTCACTTCAAACCCAAACAAGTCATTGCTTACAAGCTGAGCACTCGAGCTGAGGCTCCAGTTCTCCCAACCTGGAGAGGCTGGCAGGCACAGGAGACTTTCTGGGCCCTGAAGGACTGAACCCTCAGTGATTTGTCCATCAAGTCCTGCAGTTCAGTTCAGTTCAGAAGGCCTGCAGGCTGGACCACAGTCACATCAGCAGGAAGACGACGTTTACTTCCCATTACTTCCCATACCACCAGGCAGCAAGTGACAGGCAGGCAGTGGTTTACAGAGCATGGGGAGAGCACCTGGGACAAATAAGCTTCTCACTGCCCCTCCCCTCAAGCCACTTTGTAGTGACAGGGAGGTAGCAACAAAGGAGAGCTTTATTGCCAGGGTCCGGTCAGCAGCTGTTTCTGGTTCCTTGTTTAACTTCTCTCAAGAGAGAGGAGTTATCTGCCCAATGAAGCAGGTGTTTCAGGTGTTAATTTTCTTAATAACAAAGCAGACGGAAGGTTATCTCACGTACTCATGGGGACACCCTGCCCTGCCTGCTCAATCACAAGCTCTGTGTGCCGGGTGGGAATGTTAGATTCTGCTCCCAGTGCTTCCTGCACCTTTCTTCCTCCGATTCTGGGGTTTGGCAGAATTAAAGAGACCCAGCCTGACCCCACCCCTTGACACAGGGACTTTGTCTTCCCATCGATGTGGTGAGAGGTAAAGTAACATTGGAAGTTTTCAAGTTCTCAGGAAAAAACAGATTAATAAAAGCCTGATTCTTCACTTCAAAGTCCAGCTAAACTGTCTCACTAATGATGACAGATGTCCCAAGCTACTGCAAGGAGAGTTTAGTGTCCAACATGAAAATACGTTTTTAAAAATGTTAAAATTCAAGGCTTCCCAAATGTAAATTTAACCTCCAAATCTTTCCAACAGCGTCCTTCTCTGGGAGAAGGTCCTCAGCAGCGCATTTTGTATTACAGTTGTGTCATTAGCCTCAACCACAGAGCACTACAGTCTCTGGTAGCCAAGGGGCACAGCACACTTCTCTACTGGAAAGAATCCTCAAGCCTCCCATAGTACACCAGCCCTCTCGTTACCTTCAGTGTCCTCCCGCCACGGAGCCATTTTCGAAAGGAGCGAACATTCGTTGACACATCTCCTTCTCCTTATCCACGTAGTCCCTATAATAGCTGTGGAGAGAAAGGCGACCTGTAGCTGGTAGGGGTGACATCTGATGGCTGAATTCTCTGCTGGAAATTCAGCAAGAGGGTGGAGGTGGGGCTGGAGAGGCAGGGAGACAGGCAAGTCTCCTAAGCCTGTGCAGAAGGCTCTGGATACAGTGCCATAGTAAAAGATGGTGGCTATTAAGGCTGGGAGCACCATCTACAGGCCCCAGGCCAAGTCCTGCCCAGTGACACCATACACTCAGCAGCCTCTGGCTTCACTGCTAAGGAATGGTCTGATCCCAAAACTTCCACATCTAACTTGAGAGGACAATACTGTCCCACAGTGGAAAGAAAATTCCTGAAAAGCCACGAAAGGCCAGAACTGGATCCAAATAGAAGAGGTGGACATACCTAAGTGGGAAGACACCTTTAACTAGCAATCTGATCCAGTATTTAATGTTAAGGGGAGCAGAGATCACCAGCATGCAAAAACAAAAATATACCTTAAAAACGGTGGCTACCTTACTCCTTATTACTATTAATTTTGTGTGTGTGTGGCAGTACTGAAATCCAGGCCTCAGACTCTGCTAGACAGGCTTTCTATAATGTGAGCCATGCCTCCACAGCTCAAGTGACTCTTATTTATAGGATATTTTCAAAGTTTCCTACAATGAACACATAACCTCTCTGATCAGCGAGGTGAGTCAGACCTGGCAGGCCTGTCTTTGGTCCCAGCAGTACCTATGGGACACCACAGTCTGTGAGAGCAGCAGTAGGTTTTGGGTGGTGGGGTGGGCAAAGTCTGAAGCATAACACCCTTTTAGAGTAGCCTGGGCCTCATCCCCAGGGGCCACGGATCTGCAGGGTGTCGCAGCAGGGAGTGAGGAAATAGAGATGAAATGTGGCAGTCTGTCCCCTCTCCACTGAGAAGTGCTGGTCTAGGGCAGCCACCACTTCAGGAAACCAACTCCCAGCAGGTCTGGGCAGCATCCCAGGCAGCGCTCTACCCAGGTGGATGGACCTCTCAGAGCCTCTGGCCACATTACTGCTGCCAGGTCTCACCTGGCCAGTTTCCTTAGCTCGTTATTGATGTCGTGATTGAAGGGCTGCTCCTTCTGAGCTCGAACCAGAAAATCGCGGGCCTGCTCATACTCGGTGAGGAGGATGCTAGCCTGTCATGAAAAACAGGACTTTAGAGGCTTAGGAATATGGAAGCTGGGCAGTGGCTGAGCTGAGCCCTGCTGCTTCCTCTTTGTGGGGGACTGCCCTCCCCTCACCACCACCACTCACCTGTCCACACCTGAAGAGGGCCTTGGCATTCCTTTGGTCAATGATCAGAGCCTGCTCTCCATAGCGCAGGGCCGTGGCAGGTCGGTCAAGCTTCAGGTATGAAAAGGACAGGTTAAGGAGAACAAGAAGCTTGGCTGACTCCACCAGGTGCTGCTCCTCAGGGGGTGCTAACCGCCGATGGAGAAGCCTCAAGGCCTGAGGAGAGAGGAAAGGCAGAGGGTCAGAGTTACAATCCTACCCTCAGAGAAAGCCCCGAAGAATTCACACACACAACTATCAGAGCAAAAACCAAAGCAAAACAGAAAACAAAAACCAAGGTTACCAGCCGGGAGTTGTAGCACATGCCTATAACTCCAGCACTCAGGAGGCTGAGGCCTAAGGGCTTCAAGTTCCAGTCCAGCCCGGGCCACACAGCCTGACCTTGTCTCCATCAAGAAAAAAAAAAATTAAAAACAGAAAACCAAATTCAGCAGAGCTGCAGGACGCACAATCAATATGTCAAAGTGGTGTCTGACTGGAAGCGGCACACAAGACTCTGGCTGTGTGAGGCGACACTCAGCCTCTACTCCTTCCTGATGAAGGGATGAGGACAGGGGAAATCAGTAACAACTCAGTGTGTAGAGTGATGGCAGCATGACAACCAATGTGGCAGGGCAGAGCAAAGCGTCACAGCAAGCAGGCCTAACCCTAAGCTCAGAGCCCGACTGACCTGGAAGGGGCAGAACCAGGAATGAGTTATTAGCAGGTACAAGGGTGGGGAACTCAGAAGTCTATTTTCTGGAGAAGTGGAACCAAAGAGGCTCTTGACTCAGGGATGGGAGACAAGTGTGTATGATCAGACAGTCTCACCAGCACATAGTGAGACCACTGTCCTGTGTCCCAGCTCGCCACACATCACAGTAGTTAAGCACTGAGGCTGGGCAGAAGATGTGGGGCTATTATTCTACATAGGGAGCTTCACACTCACCAGCCTGGTGAGACCCGAACTGCCCAGAAAGTGAGACCCAACTGTGTCAGAGGGACACAAAAACCCTTCAGATGGCAAACAGGTGGAGAAATCAGGCTTGGAAGATTTTTAGAAAGTAATACTCATTTCTTTCTAGAGCAACGATGGGACAGTCTTAAACATCTAGGCTGGGTATGATGGCTCACACCTGTAATCCCAGGCATTTGGGAAGCAGATATAGGAGGACTGCAGTTCCAGGCCAGCCCAGGGGCGAAAGTTAGCAAAACCCAAAATCCCAACCATACCACAGCAGCGTAACGACGTTTTTCTAAACGGGTGCCCACAGAGCGGGAAAGCGAGGAGTCACATCTTAAGCGGGGAATCTCAGGCTCTGCGCTTCCACCTGACCATCAAGCATCCTTACCCGCTTGTACCTCACTTTGGCATCATAGAAGCGGTTCTGGCGGAAAAGGTGGTTACCAAACTCCCTCTCAGTTGCTGCCACTTTGAGGACCTTCTGAAGTGGAAACTGGTCTTGTTGCTCCTGAAGGCCAAAGACAAAGACACCCAGAATGGAAGCCACAGGCACAGCAACGCCATAGCTGTCAATGTCCCCATGTAGACTAGCAGCTTCTGTATACTGCCTGTGCGCAGGGCCACCTGAGCCCCACAGAGGCCAAGGCAGGTTGGAGTTATAACTGGCTCCATTTTTACAGAGTGGGGCTGCTTTAGTCCTCCTGCGCTGTCCCCTGAAGTCTCAGCATCCATGGACTTGGCTAAAAACTGAGGGAGCTGGCCAAGCCCAGAACTCAGGGCTGGCTCACAACCGTTTATGCAACAGGCACTAACAGGCTGTTTGCTCAGAGCCTTAGCGCTCTCTATTGTCTTTGTGCTCTGCCCTGGCTTCACTTTGGAATCCTCTGTGGAACCCCAGGAGTGGGCCCCGAGGAGAAGGTGAGAGGCTCACTTGGGATACTGACAATGTAACTGGAGCGACACTGTGTCATATGGAGCACAACCTGGGACGGCCATCTACAGCACATTCACTCAGTGTGCAACATGACGAAGACAGTGCATATGACTGCTCAGGGTATGAGGGCCTCACGTCTATGGGATGGCACAAGCAAAAGGCCATGAAGATAAGGTAACAGACTCAGATTACGAGGACAGTGACTGCGGATCCCAGTTTTTCTGAGACTGCTCTGGTTTTTACATCAATGTCCTGGGTATCTCATCTGGTTAACAGCCCCTTCCAATCTCCAGGCCTGGGCTGGACCATCAGTTCCACAGTGGCCTTGGTTAAGAACTGTCTCAATGCCTAACTTGCAGGACAACGAATGTTAGCAGTCTTGCAGAGAGAGCTAGGCCAAGGGTGACTGAATACTCAAACTCAGACTGCTTATCTATAACCCACCCACAACCTTGCCTGCCCCTGCATATCTGCCTCAGACAAGACCAGGCCAGGGGGATGCCCCTCACCACCACATCACAGGAGACCTGTGATCATCAGTAAGGCAGGCCATCCAGGACCACCACCCCAAACACAAACCCATCCTCTCTGGAAAGTGCCATTGTCTGCGCTCTGGAACTTACAGCTGAGAGGGCACAGAACTTGTCTGACTCGGCAGAATCAAGGAAGTCAAGCAGCTCAATCTCGAACAGGATAGTGCTGTTGGGAGGGATGAGCGGGGGGCAGCCCAGGGTGCCATAGGCGTAGGTCGGCTTGAACAGGAACCTAGCCAGCTCCCCTCTGCGCATGCTCAGAAGGCCCAGCTCCATGCCCCACAGTGTGATATCTGGCAGGTGGACAGAGAACATGCTTGATGTGTGTCCAGCAGCCTGCTCAATGCTATCAAGGCTCTTCCCCTCCAGGTGCTACCACAGGCCTCCTGAACCGTGGTCCCAACCCTCTTCCCACAGCTCCACCATTCCCAGACTCCAGCTTCCCCAGTGTCTACAGTATAGATGGGCTTCCACATCTCCATCACAAAATCCCTTCCTCCTGCAAGGTCTTCCTCCTCACTCCATGCCTGCCCTCTACCTTGACTGAAATCTCACCTAAACTTCAGGGCTCATTTTGAACCCTGTCTTCCATGAAGCCTTCCATGACCCTCTGAGCTGTAATCAACTGTGACCTCCTTTGAGCGCTCACAACACTGCTTCCACTCCCTGAGTGCAGGCCTTAAAGGCAGGGATGTTCAAATTCCAAGTATTTCACTGTACTTCCTGTTATTTCACTATACATGATGGGGAAACAGCAATCGATCAATATTTACTTCATGAATGATCAGAACTGAGAGCCAGTAGCTCATGCCTGTAATCTCAGCTACTCAGGAGGCAGAGAGCAGAAGGATCGAGGTTTGAAGCCAGCCCCTACCTCAAAAAATACCCAACACAAAACCGGGATGGAGGGGTGGCTCAAGTGGTACAGTGCCTGCCTCGTAAGTGTGAGGCCCTGAGTTCAAATTCCAGTGCTGCCAAAAAAAGAAAAATGCCCAAAGAGTAAGTTAGGATGATACCAGGCGGGCCATTTCCCAAACAACCAGGTCTCAAGGGGAAAAGAGAGAGAACACAGATGTGTCCCCAAAACCCAGCCTCAGAAACACCAACCCTGCTTGCTATTCAGGAGGTAAAAACAGGAAGTCTGAGTTCCAGACCCACTTACAGAGACGCTAGCTTAAAAACAAAAACCAAAAGCCCTGGTGGCCTGGCTCAAGTGGCCCTGGGTTCCACCCCAACTCTAAGGATCTGCCAATCTGAAAACACTATGCTTTAGCAATCTGGCCCAAGCGAACTCTTCTTTTCCAGCTCAGTCTGCACTTACCCTCTCCCAGTTTCATCAGCCGAGGGGTTTTCCTATAGCAATTTGAATCAAAGGGCTTGTCCATGTGCTCCAGGTATCCAGAATATTTCACTAGAACAGAGGAAAGAGACCAGAGTGTGAGAAAAACGGACCCAAAACGCCCCGATTCCACGACACTGGGTCACTACCCAAATCCTACAGAAGCTCCTTGAGTTTAGGTGGCCTGACACCATAGCCACACGGAGACCCTTCTTTTTGTGGATGCCCGCCCTTGGGCCCCGAGGTTCAAGGGCTCTGCGATGCACCTTATATGCAAAAGTGAAGTGGGTCCTCATAAAAATTTTTTTTCTTTTTTCTAAAAAGTGGCCTCCATCACCCCGTGCTATTGCTTATATCCCCTAGGTCACAGGACAGTGAATCTGCGACCGTACCAAGCACCGATGCGTCAGGTGTCACCAAATCTCCAGCTCCCTCTCGGATGACATCCTTCAGCACGCCCCGGTCCCCGGAAATGTCCAGCATCCTCTGACTTAACCGCTCGTAGGGCGACTGGAGAGAAACACAGACCTCAGAACTCCGATTCGGTCACCCCGGCGTCAGCAGACCCCCTCCCCCCACCCCGAGCCGGGGGTCCTCACCTGGCCGGGGGCGTCGTCCCCTTCCACGACTCTGGAGTTCCGGGCGCTCCCCAAGGCGCGCGCCTTGGGACCGCACAGACCCCCCCTGGGGCTGGGACTCCGGGTGGTTCCGAGACCGCGGCCCAACACCCTCGGCACCCACGAGTCCGCTCCGGACCACGGCATTTCGTTCCGGGGCCTCGAGGACGCACTCATGGTGGCGCTCCAACTGCCACCAACGAGCCCTCACGCTCTACAAACGTGCTCGCGACTCACGAGGACGTGGCAGGCACGTGACCACGGCGGCTGAGCATGGGTCACGTGATGGGGCGCGCTGAGCGGGAGGCACGCGATGGGGCGGGACTGAGCGTGATCACGTGATAGACACGCATGCGCCGTGTGACTGCGGAGGAAGCGCAGTGAGGCACTCGATGAGGGCTTGCTGAGTGTAGGATGCGTGATGGGGACAAGAGTGAGTGTGACCCATGTGTGGGAGAGCTGTTAAGGTGTTGGGGACGTGCTGAGCCCCGAGGGGCATGGGATGGGGGCTGGCCAAACATGGGCACTGTTAGAGTGAAGGAAGCTGGACGAGAGGTGAGGAGACAGCTCACTACATCAGCACAGGCTTTACTGGGAAGAAGAACCTGCGCATGGGTCCTGAGCAGAGAGCTAGAGTCCACTGCCACTTATAAACTGGGCAGTTATAGGATTTTAGTGGGAGGTCACTGGGCAGGAAAATTCTCAATCATCCCTGCTCCTCCTGAGATGGATCAAGGGACAAGAGTGAGTGTGACCCATGTGTGGGAGAGCTGTTAAGGTGTTGGGGACGTGCTGAGCCCCGAGGGGCATGGGATGGGGGCTGGCCAAACATGGGCACTGTTAGAGTGAAGGAAGCTGGACGAGAGGTGAGGAGACAGCTCACTACATCAGCACAGGCTTTACTGGGAAGAAGAAACCTGCGCATGGGTCCTGAGCAAGAGAGCTAGAGTCCACTGCCACTTATAAACTGGGGCAGTTATAGGATTTTAGTGGGAGGTCACTGGGCAGGAAAATTCTCAATCATCCCTGCTCCTCCTGAGATGGATCAAGGGCGGGTGGGGGAATTTCTACTAAAGGGTAAAAGGGGATGTTTGGTATTCTTTAGGGCTGGGTGGGGGGTTTCTAGTAAGGGTAGAAGGTCAGGTTCTAAGGTGGCTGCCCTGTACTCACCTTAACAGGCACATGATGGGGATAGGACTGAGCTGGGCCTGGGGCACATGACGGGGTACACCGAGCCCCCATGGCACACTTGAGGGCAGACTGAGGAGCCATGTGTGACAGGAGCAAGCTGAGCGTGGCGCGTGATATGATAGGCCAAGTAACAGAACCATAGGGGAAGTGACATCAGAACAGACCAAAGAGGGCCACGTGAGTGTGCTGGGCGTGATGGCGTGACGGAGTACAGTGAAGCAGGTTGAGGAAGCTCCAGTGCGGGAAGGTGGTGAGGCACGTGGGGAATCGCTGGCCACATGGCCAGGGAAGCTGGGGAGGACTGCAGAGCTGTGGCGACCCACAGGGTGGCCTCTCAGTGACTCGCATTTTCCCTCCTCCACTGGGCTGTGGAACAATTTAGCCCTGAGAACACTAACATCAATCTGGCCAGTTCTTGAGAGAAAAAGACATTTTTTGTGTTCTCATCAAATGCACCTGTGCTGCACTTCCTCCCACCCCCATCCTGGCACAAAGGAAGGACAGACCTTGATGTGACTGCCTCACTCCCATTCCTGGGGCCCCTTCCCTCCTGCCTGGGCATCAGCTGTATTAAAAGTTCTGGCCTGAAAGCCTCCGCGCCTCCCTTTAGCCCCATCTCCCTCCTGCTGCAGGTGCCCCTTGCTACTCTTCATTAAATAGCTTCTCCAAAGGTGCTTGCAAAACTGTTTTCTATTGTCTCACCCTGTGAGTCCTTTCTACCCCCTTCCCCAGCTCCGTGTCACCAAGAAAAAGAAACTGCTCTGCTGGGCACATCCACCCGCCATCTCTCTGTTCTCAGTTAACAGACTTGTCAGCAGTTGACAAAGCTGACCTCTCTGATCTCTTAAGAGCTTTTTTCTCTTGGCTTCTGTATCAGTGTTCTAGCACGGGTGTGACAAATGACCACAAACTTAGCAACTTGAAGCAACACCTTATCTCAAGGTTGAGGAGGTGAGAGGCTCAGTATTGTTTTCACTGGGCTAAGATCACTTAGTGGACGCCCTGAGAAGAGTCAACTTTGTAAGAAATATGTTCACCTCAAAGAATGGACTTGGAGACAGGTGGAGTACAGTGAAAGTGGGACTGTAATGGCAGTCTTGCAAGATCAGGTGCCCAAGGAACAGAGACCCCAGAAGCTGTTACAATAAGTACTTGTTGCTAGTGTGCAGGTCCCTCCCCCAGTTCCTCGTTGGCTGAGTACTATAGGGTGTACATTCTTTTTATGGACATTGCCTAATTCCTATTGTGTTATTTTAAAATATGCCTCTCTTGGGATTGGTCAAAATTTTAGAAGTGGGATCCATCTCTTCCTGTGGTGGGAAGGCCTCCCTGTGATACCTGCTTTTTTGGGACAGTTTTACCAATTTCCTCACTCCTGATTTACCCCTCCCTGTGTAAGTTCCATTATTAGTTGCCCAGCCCCCAATATCCGCAAGCTGATTCAGAAGTAAGCAGCTAGGCTTCAATGTCTTGAAAATGGAACACCACTGACTTTATTTCTAACAGATTTCATATTGTGGCAGAATTCAGAGCCCTGCAGCTCTAGGTCCGAGGTCCCCATCTCCTTGCTGGCTGCCAGCAACTGTGCAGCTTGGAACCCTCTTGTGTCTTGCATCTCTTCCTGAACAGCTAGAGGAAGTGCTGTGCCTGCTCAGAGCTCCTGTCATCACACTGGGTCCACTCAGATAATTCAGCACCATGACCCCCATTGTATCAAAAAAGTGATCTCTTTGTTAACAGCAGTGGTGCAGTCTGTGATCAGAAGTCTTACAGATTCTTTGTGTCCCACATGGAAGAATCCATGGCAGGACACGTGGGTGTAATGGAGTTTATTAAAAGTTAGGGAGGGGAATTACAAAAGGGGGCATGGTGGGACCAGGTGGAGGCTGGAAACAGAGCAAACCCGTACTGGGGCTTGAATTCAGGGCCTTCACCTTGAGCACTCCGTAGCCCTTTTTTGTGGTTGATTTTTCAAGATAGGGGTTTTTGAACTATTTGCCCAGTCTGGCTTAGAACTGCAGTCCTCCTGATCTCTGCCTCCTGAGTAGCTGGGATTACAGATGTGAGCCACCAGTGCCCAGCCTCCTTTCTTTTTTCCAGGTGCTTTGAAAACTTATGCTAACCTATGGGAAGGGAAGAACCTGGTGCTTCCCAACCAATAATCAGTGAGTGGGGAGGGGCATGGTTGGTCCCTGGGCCAGGTGAGGATGGACTGAGTTGTCCCTGAGCTAGGATGTGAGTAACCTGCACACATTTGCAGCTGAAAAGAAGGCTCAGAGAGAGAGAGAGGAATGTTCAATCTGAAATGCAATATTAAGTCATATATTTTCTAAGAATCCGGACTTTCCTAATTCTAGCCTGCCTCAACTTTTGCCATGTAGTGTAACCTTCATAGACAGATGAGATGTTTGGGGCCTTTTGCCTCCCACAGTGTTTGGGACGTCACTCTCAGGCTCTTTCTACTTCACTGGCTGGTGGTCCCGGGCATCATCTTCCTGACCTCTAACCATTAGCAAACTTGCGCTCTGCCCTTGGAGCCTGGCCTCCACCTGCTGCCATCTCATTCCGTTTCGCAGTTCCGGAGAACTCAAAGGTGTAAGTGTGTGATGCACCTAGGAAGATACATTCCTGGCCAGCCGGTAGCCTCCCCTGAGCTCCAGAGCATTGTGGGTGAAGAAGCTAGGTGTGCACACTCTTGGGCCCATCACTGAATTCTTGGAACAGAAACTTGGAGGGAGAGGCCCACAAATCTGTGGGGTTTTAAAAAATATTTCAATGGGTTTCCTTATGATGGTGTCATACATGTATGAGCAAATCCATGGGATTTTTTTTGGGGGGGGTGCAGTAGGGTTTGAACTCAGGGCCTCATGCTTGCTAGAGGCAGGCACTCTACCACTTGAGCCACTCTGGGTTCGCAAGATAGGGTCTTTCAAAACTATTTGCCCTGGCTGGCTTTGAACCTCGATCCTCCCTATCTCTGCCTCCTAAGTAGCTAGGATTACAAATAGGAGCCTGGCCTAAATCTGTGTTTTAACAGGCCCTCCACGTGATTCTGGTGTTTGCTGAAGTCTACAGCCACTCCACCTGCACGTCCTCAGCTGTCTGACCCAGGTTCCTTCATCCAGACTTTTCACCTTGATCTTGATATCAATTGTTAGAGTCACTCTCCATCCACCCAGGAGTTCAAGCCACTATGATTTGTTAATTACTCAACAGCCAGAGTAATCTTTTAAAAAATATTTCTGTGGTTGGAATGTGGTTTGTCCCCATGAGTCATGTATTAGAAGCTCAGTCAGTCCCCAGCATGGGGACGTGAAGAAGTGATAAAACCTTTAAGTGGTGGACGGTCCTTGGGGGTGTGCCCTCAGAAGGGATTAGGTAATTGCTCATGATAGGATTATTATTCAGAAGAGCCAGAGGTGGGCGTGGTGGTGCATGCCTGTAATCCCAACTGCTCAGGAGGTAGAGGCAGGAGGATTAATGAGACTTTATCTCCAAAACAAAGGAAAAACGAACAAACAAGAAAAAGGGCTGAGGGCATGACTCAAGCGGTAGCATGCTTGCCTTGCCTGCCTGGGACCCTGAGGTTCAATCTTCTGTACCGAGGAGGGGTCGGGGGAGGGAAAGCTGGCCCCTCTCCCTGGCTTCCTGTCTTAACTACATTTTCCTTGCTCATAGAACACACTCCTGCCATAATGTTATTCATTTTCGTTCTAAATTATCCAGCCTCAGGTGTTTTGTTACAGGGGCTGAAAAGAAATTACACATTTAAGCTATCCTAGCTACTCAAGAGGCAGAGATCAGGAGGATCTTGGTTCAAGGCCAGTCCTGGGCAAGTTGTTCTTGAAAAAACCCATCACAAAAAAGGGCTGGTGGAGTGGCTCAAGTGGTAGAGCACCTGCCTAGCAAGCATGAGGCTCGGAATTTAAACCCCAGGGCTGCCAGAAAAAAAAAAAGCAAAAATATCAATCAGATGATAGTCCCTTGCACTGCCCTTGAAGTTAAATCCAAACCTTTACTTTGGCATTCAGAGCCATCCCCGCCAGCTCCTCTGCTCTCATCTCCTGAGGCTCCGGCTCCCTTACTATGCTCTTGCTACCCAAGTCCCCTGTCCTGAATATCTCACAGATATCAGCTCTTCCCAGCACAGGGGAAGCTGGGAGCTGGAAATCTTCTCCAACTTGATCTTGAGAGCGAGTATACACGTGTAAGAAGTACACCAAACTGGTTAATATCTGCGAGCTTTCTTAAGTTGGACCTCCATCAGAAAATGTCAGTAACTTACAGTACCTTCAAAAGTCTAAAACAGAATTTCAAGAGCAGCGTGTCATAGCACATGTCTGCTCCTGTTTGGGGTTTGATAGGTGTGGAAGTGTCACCCCCTTCCCAGTCTCTGCTCCTCCCCCCATCCTGGCCAAGGCCACCGCCTGCATGCTGAGCTTATCAGAGGGGGCCCAGCCGAGGCTGCCTCCCAGTCTCGTGATGTGACCCAGTTTCCACCTGATTTCTGGATGACCTTGGGGACACAGGTGTTGCTGGGAAAGGGGAAGAAGGTGGGGCCACAGACCAGCAGTGGAGCCGGTGTCCAGTTGTGCTCTCTGGTCTCCCATGTTTGGTGTCCCGTCCTGGGAAGAGGAAAAGGCTGAGTGGTCTGAACAGTGAGGCTGGTTTGAGGCCCCAGTGGGAGGCTGGTGGGACCGTGAAAAACCAGGTAACAGGACGTTGTGGTGTCCCTGGGTCTGCTGCCTCAGTCACCTTGGGGCTGCCCCTTTCTCTGTCAGCTAGTTTCTGTAGAGGATTGGATAGAGCCCTTTTCTGTCCCAGACTTGGGAACGTTGTTCTGGGATATAGCCCTCTGCTTTAGAATTTCCTGGAGGTGTCTATCATAGATGCAGAATTCTGGGTGTCACTAGAGACCCCACCAAAGCAGAATTCCTGAAGGTGGGAAGGTGGAACTCTGGAGGCTTTGGGATTACTCAGCTTTCAACCATTGTCTGAAAGTTCCAGAAGCAACCAAGAGGGTGGAAAACAGCTTAGCTTGTTTTCGCTGTGCAGTTTGAGGTGGACACCTGCTGGGGCTGTGGCCTGCATTCTTAGTATCACTCCCGTGCATGGCCCCTTTCACGTTTATTCCAAATCTGAGCCAAAAATGTAGAGTCACCTTGGACACACTGGTGCACGTCTGTAATCCCAGCTATGTGGGAGATGTAGTTATGAAGATCTTTGTGCAAGGGCTGGGAGACCCCCTAAAAATAACTAAAACAAGAAGAGTGTGTGTGTGTGTGTGGGGGGGTGGCTCACGTAGCAGAGCACCTGCCTAGCAAGTGCAAGGCCCTGGATTCAAAGCCCAGTATTGTCTATCTATCTGTAAAACAAGTGACCTCTGTTTCATTTCTTTTCGTCATTGCTGGGGATCAATTCCAGGGCCACATGCATGCTAGGCAAGACCTCTACCACCAAGCCACATTCTTGAGCCCAAATTTTTACAGATGGGGAAACTGAGGCCAAGGCTACAGTGGGTTAAGACTGGAATCCAGAGCTGGCACCCTTCCCTCTAAGCCCTGAGATGGGGGCGATGGGCAGGTGGGGAACCGGGAGGGGCAGGAGGGGCGGGATCCAGAAGGGACACCCGTGTCGCATCTGTGTTCCAGCGCGCATGGCTTGGCAGGCGAGCGTGCCCGAGCTGCACGACCAGCTTCGGTGCCCCATCTGCCTGGAGGTCTTCCAGGAGCCCCTGATGTTGCAGTGCGGCCACTCCTACTGCAAGGGCTGCCTGCTGTCCCTGTCCCGCCACCTGGACTCGGAGCTGCGCTGCCCCGTGTGCCGCCGCGCGGTGGACGGCAGCAGCTCCCCGCCCAACGTCTCGCTGGCCCGCGTGATCGAAGCCCTGCAGCTCCCAGGGGACCCGGAGCCCACGGTCTGCGCGCATCACCGAAACCCCCTCAGTCTCTTCTGCGAGAAGGACCAGGAGCTCATCTGTGGCCTCTGCGGCCTGCTAGGCTCCCACCAGCACCACCAAGTCACGCCAGTGCCCACTGCCTACAGCCGCATGAAGGTGCGAAGGGAGGGCGGGCGGCTGCGGGAACGACCAGCAGGGGGCGCTGCTGCGGCTCGGCATCAGCTCCTGTGCTCTCTGGCGCCACCACCTGGCAACAAGGGTCCCACAGCTCCATTCCTCTCCAGCTTTGTCCTGGGAGCACTCTCTGGCTTGCTCGCTCAGTCACCCATCCGCCCATCCATCCATCCATCATCCATCTATCCGTCATCCATCCACTCACCCACCCACCCATTCACCCATCATCCCCCCATCTCCCCATCCATGCATCCATCCACCCATCCACTCTTACCACCCATCCCTGTCCATCCACCCATCTATCCATTTGTCATCTATCTGCTCACCCATTATCCATCCATCATCCATCCATCTCCTACCCATCCATCCATCCATCCATCCATCATCCATCCATCCATCCATCCATCCATCATCCATCCATTCCCCATCCATCCATCCATCCAACATTCTGAGCAGCTGCTCAAACCGCAGGGGCAGGCATGATGGGGGGGCCCCAGGTGTCATTGGCCAGCCCCTTCCTCTGCTTTTTCTTTACAGCCCTGGTTTGTTTCTTGCATGCTCTCCCTGCATGCTCAGGAAAATGAGGGTGGGGACTTTGTTTTGCTCCCTGGTGTATTTCAGTGCCTTAGAGTCCTGCCTGGTATACAGCAAATGCACAGTGCATTTGTTGAATAAGTGAATTCCTGGCCCGCTGGACCCGTACCCTGGATGACCAGGTGGTCATTTAAGATGCACAATCATAATACCATCTAAGAGGCTACATCCATAGAGCAATTCTATTGTATTTTACAAGTGTGGAAACTGAGGCTCAGACAAAGGAAGCCAGAACTGAAAACTGAGGTCTTTGTTACCTTTCTTTCCCTGGCAGTGCTGAGATGGAACCCAGGACCTTGGACATGCTAGGCAAGTGCTCGACAACTAACCTACAGTCATAGCCCGGGAAGCCAGTTTTCTTCCCCCATCAATAGATCAAGAAAGGGCTCCAGGCTGGGAGTGGGGCTCAAGTGGTGGAGCCCCCACCTAGCAAGCTCGAAGCCAAGTTCAAACCCCAGGACTGTCGCCCCCCCCCCTCCCCCCCCGCAAAGAAAAAGAGCAGGAAGGAGGGCACTTGGCAGTGGTACGGTGAGAGATGAAATTGAAGAATGACAAAAACACAGGTGGCAGGGCAGGACAAGTGAGAGCAGAAGGGCCCTTGTTGGTTGTTCCAAGGATGTACTTGCTGGTTGCTCTGGGCAGCCTTCAACCATGGGAGAGAAGTGGGAAGTGTGTACAGGGCTGCCTCTCCTCCCCCACACACTCCCTGGGTTTCTAATATGTGCTGGTCCCTGAGCTACAACAGTATGGCCTGGGGAGCGCACAGACTGGAGTCTAACCAGAGCTCCATGTGTCAGGTGCTGCTGTCAAGGTAACAGTGAGATGGTCTAGAACATAGATCCTGATGGTCTCAGGTGACCCAGGAAGACTTCCTGGAGGAAGTGGACCTTGAGGATAGACAATGACAAGGAAAAGCATTCCAGGAATAAAGGCAGCACATGCAAAAGACCACTGGCCAGACTGCACATTTGAAGACATAGAAGTCATTCCAAAGTGGTGGTTCATGCCTGTAATTGCAGCTACTCAGGAGGCAGAGGTAGGAGAATCTTGAGTTTGAAGCCAGCCCAGGCAAAGTTATCAAAACACTATCTCAAACAATAACAGAAAAACAGCAAAAGGACTGGGGTGTGGCTCAGTGGTAGAGCACCTGGTCCCCAGTACTGGAGTGGAGTGGGGGGAGTTCCATAACCCTGGAGGGAAAGTAAGGTGGGAACAAGAGGAGGAGGTGAGGTAAGCATGAGTGGGAGGCAAGAGAAAGAATCGACAGGGAATGCTGACTGAGTGTGGCCTCCTGAGAATGAGAGGGGCAGACCATCTCAAGGTCAGCTGCCTGAGCCTGGCGTAGTGGTACACACCTTTGGGCTGAGGCAGGAGAACTGTGAATTCCAGGCCAGCCTGGACTACAAAGCAAGACCTGTCTCAAAACTAACTAACTAACTAACTAACTAACTAAGTTGATCACCTACCTTGTGAGATGTCTGGGAAAGCCAATCAGCTACAGGGGTAAGAATTGGCAATGGGGAGGGTTGGGGCATGTGGAAGGAGGAAGCCAGTGCAGGATGAAGACACAGCCTGCATCTTACAGGCACAAGGACTGAGAGAAGAGAACCAGCTGCGTCCTATCCGTGCTTTCTGGCTTGGGGCTGGGCCCAGCTTGGGATTTGGGATTTTCTGATGTCAAGGATCCCTGTAACCCTTGCCCCTTTGCCCTCTTCGGGTGCTCCCGTTTTCTCCTGTTTTTTTGAGCTCTTAAGACACTAGATGGATTGATGGATTTGCATAGCTTCCTTTCCAAGTGACACCTCTAATTGACAGTTGACAGGCTGTAGTCCCCTCTCTCACTACCACAAGAAGTGACCCTTGGGATGCTGTTTTGGGGCTGCTGACAGCTTTCCTGAGGCCTCATTGTCCACAACAAGGATGCTGGGTCTATTTCTCTCTGCACTTTCTTTCTTAAACCCCTTCCTGAAACTCCCACAGCTCTCTTTAGTGCTTGGGACTAGTGTAAGCCAAACAGGGGCTGTGGTCCAGCGGTGGCTGAAGACAGTGGGACAGGGGGTCCCAGTTGGCATCCCGAGGCTGGGTCCAATTTCAGGTCAGAACTGCCCAGAAGTGTGGTTACATCTACCTGGGGAGGCCTGTCTGGGTTCCAGCCTGCCAAGGATGCATGCAGGTTTATTTTTATGAACCAGGGTCAAGTTCATTCTGTGCCACCCTAGCCTCAGTGAGGTCACCCCTTTTTGTCATGACTCGTAACAAGTGCTTACTAATTTGGAACTTGCTTGTAACCAGAGAGTTTCCCTGTGGGTAACATTCAGTGCAAGAAATGTCGGCTTAAGCCTGGTCCCAGTGGCTCATGCCTGTAATCCCAGCTATTCAGGAGGCGGAGATCAGGAGGATCACAGTTCGAAGCCAGCCCTCGGCAAATAGTTCTTGAGAACCTGTCTTGAAAAAAACCCATTTCACACACACACACACACACACACACACACACACACATGCAAAAAGGGCTGGTGGAGTGGCTCAAGTGGTAGAGCACCTGCCTAGAGAGCGTGAGGCTCTGAGTTCAAATCCCAGTGCCACCCCAAAAAAAATGTGAGTGTTGGCTTCAGGTTGACAATCAACATCAACATCCTCAGTTATTGTATGGTGGCTCTCACAGTACCTGGCATCTTTCTCTATGTCGTGGAAAGGAATGAATGACGTCAGGATGGATATTGCCATTGATATTAGAATCTAGGGTGGAATATTCTAGAATACTTGTAAGCTATCTAGGAGTCACAGGTACCTCAGAAGCTCTGGTCCCTCCCCCTGGTTACATAGCTTGTGGCCACTGGGATTTCCCAGAAGGGAGAGTCCAGGTCTGCCCGTGGTACAGAAGGTGACAGGCCAGCTACTCATGGATGGCGGCATGTTTCCTCAGGAGGACCTTGCAGCCTTCATCTCTGACCTGAAGCAGGAGCAGAAGAAGGTGGACGAACACATGGCTAAGCTGGTGAACAACAGAACCCGAATTGTTGTGAGTGGCCTGCCCTTTGCCCCTCGCCTTGGGACTGGCCACCGCCAATTTCCTGCAGAGCCCAGTTCCTTTTTTGATTTCAGTGTATATACATTTGCAGTGCCAGGGATGGAACCGGGGGCCTCATGCATGCTAGGCAAGTGTCTGCCACTCAGCAACTCCAATTCTAATTTGCCCTTTCCAGAGAACTGAGCCTTCCATTCAAAGGGAAGTTCAAAGCATTCCAGGGAGGGTGGGAACGAGCCGAGCCTCCTAGAGGAATTCAGCCCTGGCTCCAAGCTGCCTTTGGTCCTCTGTGTCCTTGGGGTGAGATAACCCACAGATAAACAGCCCAAAGTTTGGGCCTGACTCTCCCTCCCACTGGTGCCACCTGTGCCTGTGTGTGACCTTGACAGCCTGTCATGGTGCCCTCCCAGAACCGGGGAACAGAGGCCTGGAGAGGAAGCCCTCAGTTGTGTCATTTACTTAAATGAGAGGCCCAGTGGGGCTGGAGGTGGGGAGGGAGGGGCAGGAATGGTGCGCCCAGGCTTACTCAGTGGTGGCAGAGCTCTGGTCCTGCCAGGAATCCTGCACTGTCTCCTCCCAAACCTACTGTCCCAGGTCTTTCAGAGTTTTATTCAGTTGGCCACTGTGACAAAACAATACTGTATGTGCACATGGAATAGCCAAAAAAGGTGCTGGGCGTCGGTGGCTCACGCCTGTAATCCTAACTAGTCAGGAGTTGGAGATCAGAAGCACCAAGGTTCAAAGCCAGCCCAGGTAAATAGTTTGTAAGACCCTGTCTCAAACAAAACAAAACAAAAAAAATCACAAAAAAGGGCTGGTGGAGTGGCTCAAGGTGTAGGCCCTGATTCAAACCCCAGTACCACAAAAAATAAATAAATAAAATAATTTAAAAAGACAAAAGCGAGATGGGGTTGTGGCTCAGTGGCAGAGCACTTTCCTAGCATATGTGAAGCCCTGGGTTTCATCCCCAGCACCTTTCTTCAGGCAAAAACAGAGCCTGTTTGAAATGGGAGCTGGGAGGGTGGGCACAGTGGCTCACCCCTGTAATCCTGGCTACTCTGGAGATGGAGATTGGGGGATCACAGTTCGAGGTGAATCTAGGCAAAAAATTAATGAGACCCCATCTCAACAAACAAGCCGGGAATGGTGGCCCGAGTGGAAAGTGTAGGTAGGCGGGTCAAGAGAGAGAGAGAGAAGAAAGAAAGAGAAAAAGAAAAATGGGAGCTGGGGGTCCTGTCATTTGCTGTCCACACCCGTGGCCACCCTTAGGGGACCTTCCCAGGGCACACTGTGAACTCCTTGACTGGTGTCAGTCCACATCATGGCCTCTGAGACAGCTCCTGTCAGGAAGGCTCTGGGGATGCTGAGGTCAGCCAGCCAGGCATCTTGGCTGTGACCCTATGACCAGCTCTCCCCCTTGTCCCAGAACGAATCGGATTCCACACCCGTGGCCACCCTTAGGGGACCTTCCCAGGGCCACACTTTGAACTCCTGGACTGGGTCAGTCCACATCATGGCCTCTGAGACAGCTCCTGTCAGGAAGGCTCTGGGGATGCTGAGGTCAGCCAGCCAGGCATCTTGGCTGTGACCCTATGACCAGCTCTCCCCCTTGTCCCAGAACGAATCGGATGTCTTCAGCTGGGTGATCCACCAAGAGTTCCAGGAGCTGCACCGCTTGGTGGACGAGGAGAAGGCCCGCTGCCTGGAGGGGGTGGAGGGCCACACCCGCGGCCTGGTGGCCTCCCTGGACATGCAGCTGGAGCAGGCCCAGGGCACTCGCGAGCGGCTGGCCCAGGCTGAGCGCATGCTGCAGCAGTTTGGGGATGAGAGTCACCATGAGTTCATCCGGGTGAGTGGACAGGGAGAGGACCCCGGCCCTCCCATCCCAACAGCATGCAGCTTCCTGAAGCCGTAACCCACCTCTCTCTCTCTTCCAGAAGTACCACTCCATGGCCTCAAGGTATCAACCGCCAACAGCTGCTGGGGGCGAGTAACAGGGCACGGGTAGCTCATCTCCACTGTGCCTTACCCCGGCCCAGGGCGGCCTCCCGGGTCTGGCTGTGGCTCTGTCCCTTCCTGCAGGGGTCTCACAGATTGCCCTGTTAGGAGAATTTCAGTTGTTGGGGAATGAAGTACAGCGTGGGGTGAGTGGGGATAGGAGGAAGGCCAGGCCAGCGATGGCCAGAGTGGCGGCCTTGGAACCGGCTGTGGACTGTGGGGAGATGACCCCACAGCTTCCCTCACACCTCATTTGTGGACTTTCCTGTTTTCTCAGGTTTCCTTTAGTCATAGGGACCATGTGGCTAAGAGGCATGGCTTTAAATGAATGCACAGAGAGCCAGACATGGTTGGGCATACTGTAATCCCAGCTACTTGGGAGGTGGAAGTAGGAGGATCTTGGTTTGAGGCCTGTCCCAGGCAAAAGCACAAGACCCTATGTGGAAAACAAGCTAAAGCAAAAAGGGCTGGCGGAGTGGCTCAAGTGGTAGAGCGCCTGCCTAGCAAGCGTGAGGCCCTGAGTTCAAACCCCAGCATCACTAAAAAAAAGTGGAACAAACAGAGAAGCCACAAGGCTCAGCTTGGAGCAGGAATCCACCCCGGCTGTGGCTGGCGACAGGGTCACTTGACACAGGATGGGTCTCAGTTTCCACACTGGAGGGTGGGCTTTGCCCAGTGATGAGTTTTAGTTCAGCCCAAAATCTGCATCTCTAGCAAGTTCCCAGGCGATGTCTGGCTCCTGGCCCCTGAGCTCTTACTCTGAGGACAACTGCTGTGGAAGGGCCCCTCTCTAGGAAGGAGGCAGGTCCTCCAGCGGGGCAGCGTGTGGGAGCAGATGGATTTCGTGGCTGCCCACGTGGGCAGCAGGTGCAGCCGTGGGCACATGGTCCTCTCATCACTGTCACCCTCTGCATGCAGAGCAGAGCTCCAGCAGGCCCGGCCCTTGGAAGGTACATTCAGCCCCATCTCCTTCAAGCCAGGCCTCCACCAGGCCGACATCAAGCTGACCGTGTGGAAAAGGCTGTTCCGGAAAGTTCTGCCAGGTGAGGTCTCTTCCTCCCGAGCGCTGCTGCCAGGGCGGGCAGCAGCTCATGGGTCGCACCAGAGAGTGTTTAAGTTCCAAAGACTTGAGGACCCTCCCGGGGTTGTGGTAAGAGGGTGGCGCTGGTCTCCCCACACAGCAGCTCCGTCCGGGATGCTTCCGAGAATGGCCAAGTTGGGGTAAATTTCTGAGCCTCAGTTTCCTCATCTGTTGACATGCACCAGCCTGAGCTGCAGAGTCTGCATACGTACGTACATACGTTTGGCTTCCTGCTTACTGGATGGCAGCCATTTAATCCATCCTGTATTACGAGCATGCTGTTTAACTTGTACCTGGAGTTGAACAGCCAGTAGACTGAGTTCAGCCATCAAAGGCAAAGACATGGTTTCTGTTGGGTGCCACAGCTCACGCCTGTAATCCCAGCTACTCAGGAAGCAGAGATCAGGAGGATGGTGGTTTGAAGTCAGCCCAGGGAAATAGTTCATGAGACCCTATCCTGAAAAAAACCATCACAAAAAAGGGCTGGTGGAGTGGCTCAAGGTGTAGGCCCTGAGTTCAAACCCCAGTACTGCAAAAAAAAACAAAAAAAGGGATATAACCAGTAGACTGAGTTCAGCCATCAAAGCAAAGAGACAGGGCTTCTGTTGGGTGGCAGAGGCTCACCCCTGTAATCCCAGCTACTACAGAGGCTGAGATTGGGAGGATACAGGTTTGAGGCCAGCCCAAGCAAATAGTTTGTGAGACCCGTTTCTAAAATGACCAGAGCAAAATTGACTGGAGGTGTGTGGCTCAAGCACCTGCTGTGCAATTTCTGGCTTTGCAAGCATGAATCCGAGTTCAAATCTCACTCCCACCAAAAAATGAAGGGGCTGGAGGCATGGTTCAAATAAGAGTGCCTGCCTAGCTTAGCAAGGACGAAACCCTTAGTGCAAACCCCAGTACCACCGAAAAAACAAACAAACAAAAAACCAAAACAAAACAAAAAAGAGACAGGCCAAAAAGAAACTGTAAACAGCAACTCTTGTTTACTCATTTGCACGCTTTGGAGCCGAGCTGTTAGCTTTTAGTTAGCAGAAAGGTAGGCCGGGGTACTTTTCCCATCAGCACACTACTGAGGCCTGCAAATCAGACAGTTGCTGTAGGGCCGGAAAGTGTGGCTCAGTGGTAGAGCCCTTGTCTAGCGTGTGCGAGGCCCTGGGTTCCATCCTGAGCACTGAAAACAACCCTAAAAAAAGTTGACACTATTAGGAATTTCCCAGAACCCCTGGCGGGCTGGGCTGTGCAGCACACCTTCCAGACAGCCTTCCAGCTCATTCCGTCAGCTCCCCACCTGCATCAGGTAGGCAGGCCCGCACCTGTCCCCTCCTAGAACCCCTCGGCTCACAGTGGCCCTGTCACACCCTTTAGGCACCATCCCTGCAATCATCACCCGTACACAGCCCTGTGCCTGCCCCTTCTAAGTCCTAGAGCTACAAAGCTTGGTGGCACAGACCCCCTGCTTCTGTGTGGCTTAACCACAGGCCCCTCTGATGTCCCTCCAGCCCCGGAGTCACTGAAACTGGACCCTGCCACAGCCCACCCCTTGCTGGAACTCTCCAAGGGCAACACGGTGGTGCAGTGTGGGCTCCTGGCTCAGCGCCATGCCAGCCAGCCCGAGCGCTTTGACTACAGCACCTGTGTCCTGGCCAGCCGGGGCTTCTCCTGTGGCCGCCACTACTGGGAGGTGGTGGTGGGCAGCAAGAGTGACTGGCGCCTGGGGGTCATCAAGGGCACGGCCAGCCGCAAGGGTAAGCTCAACAGGTCCCCAGAGCATGGCGTGTGGCTGATCGGCCTGAAGGAGGGCCGGGTGTATGAGGCCTTCAGCTGCCCACGGGTGCCACTGCCAGTGGCGGGCCACCCACACCGCATCGGGGTCTACTTGCACTACGAGCAGGGGGAACTCACTTTCTTCGACGCCGATCGCCCAGATGACCTGCGGCCACTCTACACCTTCCAGGCTGACTTCCAGGGCAAGCTGTACCCCATCCTGGACACGTGCTGGCACGAGAGAGGCAGCAACTCGCTGGCTATGGTGCTGCCACCACCCAGTGGGCCGGGCCACCTCCCACCCCTGCAGCCCACCAAGCTGTAGGCTGCCCATCCCACGGGCAGCGAGGTTTCTTACAGTACTGGAATATTTGTGACAGAGAGAAGGGTCTCAGTCCCTTCCCTACCAGCTAAAATCAGCAGAGCCAGGCCTGACATCCATAGGTCCCCCGTCCCTTTTTTTTTTTTTTTTTTTGTGGTACTGGGGTTTCAACTCAGGGCCTACACCTTGAGCCACTCCACCAGCAGATTTTTTGTGCTTTTTTTTTTTTTCGAGATAGAGTCCCATGAACTATTTGCCCAGGATGGCTTCGAACTGCGATCCTCAGGATGGCTTCGAACTGCGATCCTCCTGATGTCTGCCTCCTGAGTAGCTGGGATTACAGGCGTGAGCCCCCGGCACCTGGCTAAGTCCTTTCCCTTCTGAACATTCTTTCTGTGCTCCAGCAGAGGGTGGAAACTCCTTATCACTGGGAATGTCAAACAACTATTAAGGATAATAAATTTGACACTTTTTCTCTTTAATGCTTAATGTAGGATCTTTTGTTGCAGCGCTGGGGTGGAACCCAGGGAGTTGCTCATGCTAGGCAAATGCTGTACTGCTAACTCCCAGTGCTAGCACCTGTGCTCAAGCATTTTTTATTTTTTATTGATACTGAGAATTGAACTCGGGGCCTTGAGCTTGCTAGGAAGGTGCTCTACCACTTGAACCACTCCTCTAGCCCTTTTTGCTTTAAGTTTGTTTTTTTCAGATAGGGTCTCATATTTTTGCCCAGGCCAGCCTCAGACCACAATCCTCCTACTTCTGCCTCCTGAGTGGTTGAGATTACAGACGTGAACCACCACACACGGCCCCTATGTCTGAGTTTTTAAAAGCAGCTCAACTGTCTGCTTGTCACTCCATCATTGTCCCATGCTTAAGACTTCTCAACTTCCCCACTCAGGTAGACGAGATGGAAATGATACTACTTCAAAGCCAAGCAGGGACCAGACACGGTATGGCTAGATGACAACTGCTAAGCATGCGGAATGGGCCTGGAGGGCAAGGCTGGTTACAGTGACCTGCCCCAGGTTACAGCTGGTGGGCAGGTATCCACCCCAGACCACGGCTGGGACTACTGAATTCTCTTGTAAGAATCTGACAATTGGAAGAGAGAGAATAGCTGGAGCTTAGTCACCTGAGACCTGGTTCCGAGGGAACCCTGGCAGCCCTGAGCCACCCAGTCCCACGGAACAAGCCTGAGTGTCTCTGGGGAGCAGCTCCACCCTGTTGCCCTGGGATGATTCCACACAGACTCCAGGCCAGGGTTGCGAGCAGCCTGGCTCCCTTTTGGTGTGTGAAAAAAGAATCACACTTACCTTTTTCAGAGAGGGTAACATTTATAGGTTCCGGGAAATTAGGACCTGATATGTTTGGGTGACCAACACACTAGATTTTCCTATGGTACTAGAAAGGCATATTGCTGGGGCTGGAGGTCTGGCTAGAGCACCTGTCTAGAAACACAAAGCCCTGAGTTCAAATCTCAGTACCACCAAAAACAAGGCAAAAGGCATACTACCATTATGCTAGTTTCTCTAATCAAAACTTGTGTTACTCTTTTTTTTTGTTTTTTTCCGGTACTGGGGCTTGAACTCAGGGCCTCTTGAGCCACTCCACCAGCCCTTTTTTTGTGTTGGGTTTTTTCAAGATAAGAGTCTTGTGAACTATTTGCCCAGGGCTGGCTTGGAACCTCGATCCTCCTGATCTCTGCCTCCTGAGTAGCTAGGATTACAGGTGGGAGCCACTGCTGCCTGGCTCTTCTTGACTTGTCTCCCTCTTCCTTACCCAGTTCTGTGGACTTAATTTTTTTTGTTTTTAGTTTATTGAGACAGGGTCTCACTATGTAGCCCAGCTGGAAGTGAACTCACAATCCTCCTGCGTCAGTCTCTTGGTTGCTGGGATTACAGGTGTGTACCGCCATGCCTTGCTTGAATTTACCCCTTTAAACAGTATTGCCTACTTCAACCTGATCTCTTGCTACCAGCTCACCCCAGGCCACCACATCTGGGACCACTATACATGTGGTTCTTGCTGAGGTGACTGACCTGAGCCCGGAGGGTCCTAGCCCTGCGGCTATCACTGGTACTGGTGGAAAGTGTCACACTCTATGGACCACATCTTCCTGTGGCTGCTGGGGCCTGTCTGCAGCTACATGAAAAATGCTTGTCTGAGAATGGAGCCATCAGAGGACAGACACATGACAGAGGAAGTCAGTAAACAGACACTGATAAGTAAAATAAGTGCAGGTTTTAATTTGAAAGCTTGCTGGTAATGTGTGAACCCCTGGATCCAGCCATGCTTGAAATAAATGCCCTGGTTCTCCAAGTCTAGGATTTCCTGTTTGTGTGAGCAAACGGTAGTCATCCTTCCCTTTTTGTCTGCTTTCGTCAGCTGTGACTCTGTCCCAACCAAGTAGGTGATCACCTAATGCCTGGTGCCAGTGTCTCACACCTGCAATCCCCACTTCTCAGGAGGCAGAGATCAGGAGGATCGTGGTTCGAGGCCAGCCTGGGCAAACAGTATCTCGAAAATACCCAATACAAAGGGCTGGCGGAATGGCTCAGAGTGTAGACCCTAAGTCCAAGCCCCAGTACTACAAAACTCAATCTATCAATAAAGTAAGAGTTTGCCCTCATACAGTGAGCTGGAGAGTCAGACAAGCAAACAAGATAACCACGTATGAAATAGGTGCTAGGTCAAAAACAAAACAAAAAGACATGGGATGGGATTTGATGGGAGATGTCACTTAAAGAGCACCTAGAAGCCTAGCGATTTGGGAGGCTGGGATCAGGAGGATGGCGGATTGAGGCCAGCCCTTGAGACCCCCATCTCCAAAATAACCAGAGCAAAATGAAGTGGAGGTGTGGCGCAAGTGGTAGAGTGTCTGAGGTGCAAATGCAAAGCCCTGAGTTCAAACCCCAGTCCCACCAAAAATACAAAACAGTTATGCTACCAAGCTGGAATTGGTTAATACTTTAAACTACGCAGCCATTTTAATGTAGCCCAGAAGCAATCCTTTTGCAAAATGCCTGCTGACGTGCTGTTAACAACACGCAAAGCTCAGGCTACACGTTTCTTCACTTCTTTCCTTTCTTTTTTGGTGCTGGGGACGAAACCCAGGACCTCCACGATGCTAAGCAGGCTCCCCAACGCTGAGCAACCCGGAAGCCTCATACCCTTTGACCCCGGAAGTCCGGGCGTGCAGAGCGGGCGCAAAGCCGGCTGCGCTTTGCGACAGAGCCGTAAAGGCGCGCGGCAGCATAGGCATGGCGCTGTACATGGCCGCGGCATCCGTGCTGGCGGGCGTGGAGAGCCGCCAGGGTTCCCTCAAGGGGCTGGTGTACTCCAGCAGCTTCCAGGTAGCTGCGTCGGGTTGGAGAAAGGTGCGGGGTGGGGATCCGGGCTGGCGGGGGACGGGCTGCGGTCCGCCCCGGCCCCCCGCCCAGCGTGTGTCCCCCCTCGGTTGCGCAGAACGTGAAGCCACTGTACGCGCTGGTGTGCGAGACGCAGCGCTACGCCGCCGTGCTGGACGCCGTGATCGCCAGCGCCGGCCTCCTCCGCGCCGAGAAGAAGCTGCGGCCGCACCTGGCCCGGGTGAGGGGGGCGGGGCCGTCACCTGCTCCCAGGTGATGCAGTGACCCCGCTGGGGTGCACGTGCTTTGGCTTCAACCTTGCACGGGAGCAGCCTGGGGAAAGGTCCGGGTTTGGCAGCAAGGTAGCAGGTTCTGAACCTGAATCTGCCATTAATTCTTGTGTGATCTTGGCTAGGGAATCGAACTTGACCCATAACCACCTGGACAGTGGTGGTGATGTCATTTATATTATTTAACTCTTCCCGTTCCAGCAGATTTTGGGACGGGGATTGGAGGGCGCTCTTAACACTTGAGCCACACCTCCAGTCCATTTTGCTCTTGGTTATTTTGGAGATGGGGGGGTCTCGAAAACTATTTGCCAGGGCTGGCCTTGAACTGCTATTCTCCTGATCTCAGCCTCCCAAGTAGCTAGGATTTACAGGCATGAGCCACGGCGCCCGGCTCCAAGACTCTCATTCAGAGTTTTATGACTTTTTTTTTTTTTTTTTTCTTTCTCGGTCCCCAGGTGCTAGTTTATGAGCTGTTGCTGGGAAAGGGTTTCCGAGGGGGCGGGGGCCGGTGGAAGGCTCTGCTGGGCCGGCACCAGGCAAGGCTCAAGGCCGAGTTGGCCCGGCTCAAGGTTCAGCGGGGTGTGAGCCGGAATGAGGACCTGTTGGAAGAGGGATCGAGGCCTGGTGCAGGTGAGCCAGGGCAGAATTACGGGGTGGAGGAGGGTGATAGCCTGCAGGTGTCCTGCCCACTCACTGCTGGGGCGTCCTAGCCTCCCAGGTGCCTCGGTATGTGCGTGTGAACACCCTCAAGACCTGTCTTGAAGATGCAATTGACTATTTCAAGAGACAAGGCTTCTCCTACCAGGGCCGGGCTTCCAGGTGAGAGCTGAGCGTCCTGCCTGCTCCCCAGGATGTCAGGGCGTCCTGGGGAGCAGGGATCTGTGGGAAGAGGGGCTGACTACAGTCTTCCCATCTTTTTAGCAGTTTTTTCACTTCCTTCCAAGGCCTGCCTTCCTCCCACACCTTAAACGCCAAAACTGCTGTTAGTCATACCATATTTTGTCCTCCTCCTTAAAAGACGGTCTCACTGTTACTCAGGCTAGACTGGAACTCAGGACCCTGCTGTGTCTGCCTCCGAGCGCTGGAATTACAGGCGTGTGCTTCCTTGCCTGGATACTCTTTTGTCTTTTGGCAGCTCTGGAAGCTGCCTCTGCCTTTTCCCCCTCCCTCAGCCTTTTTAGATGTCTCGAGGCCTATTTTTGAGTTGGTCAAGAGGCGTGGACAGAACTTGCAGAGTTCAAGACACTGCCTCTTCAGTCCCTCATCCACGAGGCATCAGTGCAGCTGCTCCTTTGTCCCCCAAAAGTGACACCTGCCTAAGGTTTTGATAACAGTAGCAGCTAATGTGTAGCAAGTGCTTAATTTGTGCCAAGTGTTCTGAACCTTCTGACGTCTTCATGTTCACCATTATACACATTATGCCTAAGTGCAAACTCAGGCTTAGATCGCCTCTGGTCGGTGGTAGAGGAGGGTGCCGAACCCAGGAGGCTGACTGCAGATTTAACTGTCCTAACTGCCGATTTGGCTTGCCTCTTATTCTCAATTCACAGCTGGCTTTTCTTTTGTTTCTTTTTTTTGGTGCTGGGGATAGAACCCAGGGCTCTGTGCATGCTAAGCAAGCGCTCTACCATAGGCTCCTCCCCCAGCCCTTCCGAGCTGTTCTATGTAAGTGGGGCCTGGCATGGAGAAGTCAGGCAATACTCAATTACTGGTTCTTCCCTGGAGCCTGGCGGACTTGCAGGCCCTCAAGGGGAAGCACTTCCTTCTGGACCCCCTGCTGCCCGACCTGCTGGTGTTTCCTGCCCAGACAGATCTGCACGAACACCCCTTGTACCACGCCGGCCACCTCGTCCTGCAGGACAAGGTGGGGAGGATGGGTGAGGGAAGGCAAGTGGGAGCGTGGCCTCCCAGGCTCTCTGCTCACAGGGCTGCTATTGTGTCTTCAGGCCAGCTGCCTGCCAGCCATGCTGCTGGCTCCCCCGCCCGGTTCCCAGGTCATCGACGCCTGTGCCGCCCCCGGCAACAAGACGAGTCACTTGGCAGCTCTTCTGAAGAACCAGGGGTGAGTGCAATGTGCTCAAGTGGACGGAGGGGAAGTGGGTCTGGTGCATCTTCATTGCAGTTGGTAGTGAAAACTCAAGGACAGCCCCAAGCCATGCTGCCCGTGGGCACCTTGGGACACATCCCCAGGCCAGCTGCCTGTAGCATGCTCCCCCCTACCCCCTGGTGTGTGTCACTGATGGGTGCTCTAGTCTCCCCTCTTCCTAGGAAGATCTTTGCCTTTGACCTGGACGCCAAGCGCCTGGCGTCCATGGCTACGCTGCTAGCCCGGGCTGGAGTCTCCTGCTGCATGTTGGCCGAGCACGACTTCCTGGCGGTCTCTCCGGCAGACCAGCGTTATGCTCGGGTCCAGTACATCTTGCTGGATCCTTCCTGTAGTGGCTCTGGTGAGGGCAAATCCATGGGGCAGGGGGCGGGGTCTGGTAGGAAACACGCAGTCTGGAGCCTCACAGGTAAAATGCTCTCGTCTTCAGGTATGCCGAGCCGGCAGCTGGAGGAGCCCGAGGCAGGTCGGCCTAGCGAGGAGCGCCTGCGCGCCCTAGCGGGGTTCCAGCTGCGGGCTCTGTGCCATGCGCTCACCTTCCCCTCCCTACAGCGCCTCGTCTACTCCACGTGTTCCCTCTGCCAGGAGGAGAATGAAGATGTGGTGAGAGATGCCTTGCAGCAGAGTTCAGGGGCCTTCAGGTAATGGTGTCCCCATGTCCCCCCCCTTGGTCTCAGAGGGGCTGGGGACCCCAAGCTGCCCCCTCCCCAGTGTCTGAGCTCACTCTCCTTGCAGGCTAGCTCCTGTCCTCCCCTCCTGGCCCCACCGAGGCCTAAGCACATTTCCAGGGGCTGAACACTGCCTCCGGGCCTCCCCCGATACTACGCTTACTGGTGGCTTCTTCATTGCTGTAATTGAACGGGCAGAGGTGCCAAGGTGAGCGAGACAGGAGCCTGTTTGGAGGGGCTGCATATGTGGGACCTGCTTGTCACCTGTGTCCTTGTCTTCCAGCTCAGCCCCACAGGACAAAATTCCAGCACCAGATTGTGTTCCCAGCCTGGCCCCGAAGAGAAAGAGGCGACGAAAAGCAGCAGCAAGTCTGCCACCGTGCACCTAGCGGGTGACACCTTTCTCCCTGGGGCCAGCCGCAAACCCTGGCCAAAGCCCCCAGGCAGCAGCGTATGCTGTACAATGCTGTTTTGGTGCTGTAGGAAGCTGGGTGCCTCACTCCTCCAGCCCCAAGGATGGTGATGTCCTAGGCCTCTGGGTCCCTCCCCTGTGAGAAGTGTTGCCTGTACAAATAAAAAGGCAGAGTCTGACAGATCACAGTTTATTCTTAATGACATAAGCAAAGAGGAAAATCTCACATTCATACTAAAAATCCCAACTAGTCTCGACAGGAATGATGTCTGTAGTGGGAAGCCCCAGCGTCCCGCTGCTGTCCTGAGGGTACAATGGCACACACTCCACACACCTGGGCTGTGCCAGGACAAGTGCCAGCTTGTGGAGCTGAGGTAAGGTAGCTCACTGGGCTCAAGGCTCACCTGACCCCAGGTCCGAGTCCCACCCCACTCTCTGATGCCGGCAGCTCCACACAGCCAAGCTCCTGGGGTGGGAGAGGCAGGAGCTATGTCCTGCCAGACACTGCGCCCAAGTCACAGAGGGGCTGCTTACATCACATTGCTTAGAAAGAAAGATTACGCTTTTGTACAACGTGTCCAGAAGGTGCTCCGGCCCTCAGGAAAGCTGCTGGGACACACTGAGCCCTTCTTTACACAGGCATAACTTAACTATACGGCTAACTCCTAGTCATGGCATTTATACTTAACCACCTCAGTGAACCAAGCTTGAAGGAATCTAAAAGGCAATTTAGCTTAAATACAAAAATAAATTTTTATTTTGTTAAAAAATGTTTAAATATTTTTCTTTTAATTTAGACACACGCATTCATACTTCTCCCAAAGAGGGGGGGCATGGCAGCAAGGCTCTGGGGCCTGGGGTGGTAGCTTAGGGAGAAGGGATGGGAAGGCTGGAGAGGGCCCTGCTTGGGGAAATGTAACTAAGGGACCTGTCTCCTAACACACACTGGGGCACTCGCCTGTAGCAAGGTCAGGTAACAGGTAAGGGGACAGGGTCAGCAGAGGAAGGTCTTTGCTTCCCCAGGGCCCATCCCTAGGCTGCCAGCCCTTAAGTCAAAACACCATTGGAAAATTCAGGAGTCAGCGCTGTGACCCTCAAGCGGTGCCACTTCCACACTCGGCTAGTCAGGCCCAGGAGACTGGAGACAGTGAAGTCCGGCACTAGCAACATGCCGCCACACATACAATTCAATTCTTCCTCCAAACTCGATTCAAAGAGAAACCCACACAAGCATCAGACAGAAACACAGGACACAGCATGGAACGTATGATCCTGGAGAGGCAGATGTCCCGACCACAGGGTGCGGGCAGGTGAGAGGCAGCAGGAAGCAGCAGTGGGCACTGCCTGTCCCAAGAGCTGCTCTCCTGCAGTGAGGGCCTCGCTCTGGCTCAGCGCGGCTAACAGTCTTGAGCCACCGAGCTTTGAGGGGCCGCACTGGCAGAGGGCTGGAGATGAACCACTCAGACTAGGGAGGAGGAAGTGGGGCAGCACCCACTGGGGTCCAAGGCAAAGCAAGATTCGTGGTGATCTAAAGAGATCAGTCCCACAGAGGACCAGAGAGAGACAAAGCAGCAAGAAATGGGAGAGTCCCCAGAGGAGCCAGAGAGGACCACTTCTTACGGCCAGGCCAAGCGGGCAAGGCGTAGGGATGGGTAACCATTATGACCCCACCCAGTGCACACCAGAACCCATGGCGCACCCCGCCCTCCAGCAGGTGGCTCTTGGAAGGTGGGGAGGGTGCTGTCTGACCGAGTTCCGCACTACACAAGAGTAAGGGGAGCAAGGGCACAGTATGTACAGGTGGTTCTTTAGTTCTCCAGCTTCACCTGTGTGACTGTTCAAGTACAAGTATTGGGTTTCTGCCCCCCTCTCCTGAGACACCTGCCTCCTCCAGAGGGGACAGTGCAGACTGCCACGGCTGCCCAGGGCTGAGGCCAGAGATCTGGGCTAGGCTTGCTTTCTGGAACTCGAAGGGTCAGAGGCTCTTCCTAGCAGGTGCTGAGGTCCAGATTTGGGCAATGGGTGGGAGGGGACAGGACAGGGACAGAGATTATTTCTTGCGGGTGTGCTGCCTTCGAGCCTGCAGTCGCTGTCGAGCCCCTGGGGTCTTGGATCCCGCACCAATGGAAAATGAAGGGGCCGCTGATCCTGGAAAGATCCCACAAGAACGCATCAAGACAGCGGCTGGCACAGAAAATGTCTCTGGGTGCCTAGCTCTGGAGAGGTAAGCCAAAAGAGCAGGAGCTCCAACAGATTTCCCAGCTGCATCAGCAAAATCCAAGACCCCAGGAAAGCCTCAGAGTGGCCCAGGAGCCCACTGTGACTTGTTTAAAGTCTACGCTGAGGGGCAGACAACTCCACATTTGAGTTAGGCTGGACCCCATGAACCTGACCTTCACAGGGCTCACCACATCAGCAACCCCACCCCCACCCCTCCTCACAGAGGAGCTACACCAGTTTGGCTCCAACAGAGGTGAGCTGCTTACCAAAAGGCCCGACTCCAACGAAGCCTTGGGTGGGTGTTGAGGAGGTGCCAAAGGAGAGGCTGCTGCCCGATGCACCCACTCCAGGGGTAAGGGTGCTCTGCCCAAAGGTGGGTGTGGAGGTGCCTAGAGCAAGAAAGCAGACTTGTAGAGACTGGGCCAGTGAGGGGGGTGGGAGGCACACAGCACACATGAGAACCTTGGTACTGAAGGAGTCGGCCTATGCACGCCCTTGGTCACATACACCACTGCTGCAGAGTCCTCAATGGCCTGAGCAGGGGACCTGTTTCCCATTAGGCTGCATCTCCCTGGCCTCCTGCCCTGCCCTGCCCTCTGGAAGCACCATGGCACACAGCTGGTGCTGATCCCAGTAGCCCCGCTGCTCTCCTGCCTCACCTCCTGTGGCTGCCCTGCATGATGCCCTCCCTCAGGTGGGCCCTTCCCTGCTTCCCAACCAAACCATTTCTCTTCCTCCTTCAAACACCTAACCACTTTGTCTTTTTTTTTTTTTTTTTTGACAGGGTTTCTATTTGTAGCCTCAAACTCATACTCCCACGTGCTGGGCTTACAGACTGCAGCACCATGCCTGGCCCAAGTTCAGATAATCAGACTGTTAGTCAGTCCTTGTCCTTGCCAGTGCTGCCTGTCAACTGTGAGTCATTCCCTTTTTTTGCTGTAGACCCCTGACCTACTGTCACCCATTCCTGGTGACTTCATCTGTGATGACACACAATGCTGACTGGCCTTGCTTGACATTCATGGCCACAATTTTGCAGTCCACAAACCACCTGGCAAACTCCACTTTCTCCTGTCATGCTCCTTCTCACACCCCTGTCACCTTCACCAAGAGCTCAACCCTGACAGTTCAGAACCACAATTCACCCTCCACACAGCACCCGGAGGTCACTTCACTCTTCTGCTTGACATTCCGCAGGGATCTCCCTCCAGTCAACGAACACAGCCCCAGCCTGACTGTCCTCTCCATGCTGCCTCACGGCCTCCAGGCAGGCTTGCCTGTTTCCAGCTCTCGAGTACAAGCCTGCTCCTGCCTTTGGGCCCTGGGACCAGCCCCTCCCAGAGCCTGCAATGCCTGTGCACACCTGTGTCACCCTAGTACTCGGGAGGTGAGGCCGGAAGACCTCGAGGTCCAGGCTTGCCTGGGCTACATCTCAGGACCCTGTCTCAAAAACCCATCCCCCATCCCAAACTAGCCATGCTCGGCTTCTGTTTCTTCAGAAGGGTGCTCCTTGAAAGCTTCAATCCACAGCAGCTCCTCCTGTCCTCTACATTACTAACACGTTGCTGAGGCGGCAGCCCCAGCTCTTAATACCTCACCAGGCCCACTGGGCCATGCTGCTGCTAAACTCACCTCCAAACACAGGCTTGCTCTCAGGTGTGCTGGCCACGTTGAAGGCAAAGGGTGTGCTCTGGCCAGGTGTCCCCAGGGCATTCTGATTCAAGCCACCCCCAAATGGGGTGGTGGTGCCTGTGGTCCCACTCTGTCCAGCTCCAAAGCTAAACGCTCCAGAGGAACTGGTGCCTGGGGCTGCCACACTGAGCCCAAAGCCCCCACTGCTAGCTGGGGCTGCTGAGCCCCCAAATGTGAAAGGGGATGGAGTAGAGCTGCCAAACACGGAGCTGCTGGTCCCTGTGCTGGTGGTCTGCGTGGTGGCCCCGAAGCCAGAGGTGGTAGATGCCCCAAAGGAGAACACCGCTGTGGTGCTGCCAAAAGTAGGCTGTGTGCTGGCAGGCGTGCCAAAAGTGGAGGTGGTGCCTTTCAGGCCACCAAAAGCAGACTGCACATTGCCACCAAAGGCTGTCTGGGTTGGTGCTGGCACTGGCGCTGGCGCTGCAGATGGGGCTGGGGCTGCAGAGTTTCCAAAAGTGAAGGAGCCACCAAAGCTTGGGGCAAGGGCTGGCTTGCTGGCCCCCTGCGGCTGCCCCTCTGTGGCCCCAAATGTGGGCTGAGTGCCAGCTCCTGGGTAGGAGGGGAGGGTGGGCTTGGCACTGGAGCCAAGGGGAATGTTGAAGGCAGGGCTGGTGCTGAAGGTCAGTGTTGGGTGACTGGTGGTGGCCGTGGCTGTGACTGAGGTGGTAAGGGGGCGGCCAAAGCCACTGAAACCAGTGGTGCTGGTGCTGTTGCCGCTGGTGGCTGGCTGAGCAGCACTGGGAAGGGGCGGGCCAAAGGAGGTGACCGCTGTAGAGGTTGGCAGGGCTGCAGGCTTGCCAAACTGGAACACAGAGCCCACAGCTGTGGGGAAGGGGGTGGCAGAAGTAGAGGGAGCCCCAAAGAGGAAGGGCTGAGAGGTGGAAGTGGTGGTGCTGGCCACAGTGTTTACGCCAAAGCCAAACATGGGCTTTGGAGTGGAGTCTGTGGATGTACTGGTGTTGGTGACAGAAGCTGTTGTGGAGGTGGTGGTGGTCAAGCCAGTGAAGACAGGGGCAATAGTGGCTGCAGTGGTGACTGAAGTAGCTGTCTGCTTGAAGGAGAAGGGTGTCAAGGACAGAGAGGTAGGTGGCCCCATGCTGCCAAAGATGGGCTTGAAAGTCGGGGTGGTGGTGCTGGTCGTGGTGGGGAGGGTAGAGCTGGAAGAGGCTGGGGTTGTGGCTGAGGGGCTAGAAGGCAGGGAACTGTCGCTCTCACTTTTGGGTGGGACCAGAAAAATGGGTTTGAACATGGGAGAGGCAGAAGATACACCAGGAGCAGCGGGGGAGGAAGAAGCAGCGGGGGAGGAAGGGCGGGGAGGCTGGCTGCTGGGCATCCCAAACACCATGCTTGGCTTGGGGGTAGGGGCTAGGGCTGGAGGTTCTTGGGTTTTGTCGGATGTCTCAGTCTGCAGTGTTGGAGGTGACTTGGTGTCAGTGACTGTTGTCATGGAGGAAGCAGGGGCCAGTCCCAGGAAGGTGTCTGTGGACTTTGAGTCTGAAGAAGTGCCTGGCAGAGGTGCTGGCAGTGAAGAGCCAAGAGGGGCCGGAAGGCTGGGTGTCTTTGGAGGTGAAGGGGCTGAAGAGGTTGCCACCTCAGCAGACTCTGGAAGAAGAAAAAGAAAGGTGAGTCCCGCAGACTTCCACACGATGGTACTCAGCATGGGGGTCCTCTACGGTTCTTACTTAGACAGGCCTCATTCACAGAGCAAAGATGCACCATGTTTACTGGCCCAGCTACATGGAGAGCTGTGACCATGAGTTAGCGAGCGTCTGCCCTGGGCCCAAGGACAGGCTGAGTATTACACCCATACTCCTACCTGACCAAGCACAGTACCGCATGTGTGTCACACAGTGCCATGAAGGCAATGAAGCAACACTCACTGACCTTTCAGACCACCAAAGAAAAAAGGGATTCACACATTTCTGGGCCTGTGATCTGGGAAGCTCAGATGGCCACACTCACATGGCAGATACCTCATGAGGAAAGCACTACTGCATTTTACAGATGTCAAAGGCAAGGCTTGGAGCAAGCAGGGAACTGGGCTTCAGGCTTTCAGATCAGAGAACTGTGAAGCTTGGCCACCTGGGCCAGCTCAAATCCAGTAAGCCAGAGGGGTCTGACCTTCAGCCCCATTTCCGGTGACTGCCAGGCACGTTGCTTTCACCTCCTCCCGGGTTTGAGGTGCTACGTGCTCCCTCACAGTGAGGCTCCCACTCACCTGGGAAGGCTGGCGGGCCCGGGGGGCTCTGCATTTTCTTTAAGCTATCCAACAGTGGGTTCACACTGGGGGCCGGGAGGGAGGCTGGAGAGGAAGCAGGCTCTGAGGCAGGTGGGGTGAAAGTAAAGGAAGGCTGAGTTGTGGGTGGGTTCTCAGTGACAGAGCTCGAGGCTGCATCTAAGGAAGAAAGGTAACATCAAGTTTGGCACTCAGGGCCCAGAGAACTTGTCTAGAAACACTTCCTCTCTCACCTGCAACCATCGGCAGCAAAGACACAAGCAGACTTCTCAGAAGGGGACAACAAAGGAAAACAAGGGAGTCTTTTGCCGGGAATGCGTTTAAAATAGCTAAAAAGAGAGCGAAAGGACAAGCTGGGCCCTCCCTGGAGTATGCGCTGGTTTGCACCCCTTACCGGTCTTGTCCTCCAAGGCCTTATTAAACCACTGGAGTGACGCTTTCTTCTCCATGTCCAGGTCTTCGGCAGTGACAGAGTAACCAAGCTGGGGAGGCGGAGGCTGCCAGAAAGAATGAGAGTTCAGTCCAGTTAGAAGCAAAGAAGGAAACCATACCTAGCCTTCTCAAGATGTGGGGGACCTGGGGGGTAAGCAAGCCATACCAAAGTCAGCTGGTCTCCTCGCCTACAGGGCAGCAGCTGAATCTTTCGTTTCCGTTTCCCAGAGCTGCCAGATGTGGGCGAGGAAGTCCATGAACTCTGTTGCTTCCTTGTGGTAGTGTCTGCAACTAAAGAAACAGACTCACTGGCTTCCTTCCCTCTTCCAGGAAAGGACAGTTGTTTCTACCCACTGGGTGTAATACCGAGTTGTCACGGTTATCTTTGAAAACATTCTTCTGTGGTTGGGTGGAGTGAGATTTTTCTCGCTCCTAGTTATTACCGAACCTAACTGGGCCTAACTGGCAGCGACAGCAGATACAGAAAGGACACAGGATAGACAGACAAACAGAAAGTTGGGGCCAGGTGTGTTGGGCACTCGGTGGAGACGCCCAACAGCCTCATTGCTTTTTATTTCTATTAATCTTTTCTCTTTACTCTGCTTCTTTTGTCTGTTTTTTCTTTAAAGCCTTACTCCTTTACAATTCTTTAAAACCTTGCTTCTAAAAGTCTTTTTTCTATTCTTTAAAACCTCACTTCTGAAGTCTTCTTTTAAGACCTTGATTCACTATTCTTTAAAACCTCTCTTAGCTGTTCTTTAGCATAATCTCTTAAAGTCTTTGCCCCCAGACTTGCACTGTCCCATGTTCTCTCTTTAGCTTTCTTTCCCTCGCAAACTTCCAACCAATTCTATCAACCCCTCTTTAGCAAGTCTCCTTCAGCAATTCCTCTCCCTTCAGCCAAAAAACCCCCATCAAAAAGCCTCTTCCATTCAAAAGCCCTTCACCCAAAAGTCTTGCATCCTCTGAGTCTTTTATACCCAGTGGTAAACAAGGAGGTGGAGCAGCAGTTCTTGGGGAGTGGCATGACATTGTAACAAGAGGAACCTGGTTCCTGCTTCTCTGAACATAAACAACTTAGGAAAAGCAGCTGTGCTGCAGCTTGCCTTCTCACTCTTTTCTGCCACTGGGGCTGCGCCAAATTTCAGCCTACAGGTTATTTGACATAAACATCTTAGGAAAAGCAGCTGCTATGCATCTTACAACTGTGCTTATGTCCTCATAGGCTTCTCCTACTCCACTCCCCAGAGTTGGGTTGCCTGGATGGTGTCTGCAAGATTATTTCTAAGTCAAGAGGAAGCAAGAAGAGAACTGCTCCAAATGCAAACACACAACTGCTTTCTGACCGGTCACTACTGCACCTCTTACAGATCCTCAACTGAGCAGATCTCTAGCTACAGATATCACAGGTTACACCTAATGTGCTCGCACACTCTCTGTACCTACCACACCCTCTAGAGAGCAATGTTCAAGCCATCTGTTTCCAGTGGTATTACTCTGTGTTTCTTCTACAAACACTTCTCCAACCAGGCAAGCAGCAGCAGCAGCCACTCCTGCTCAGTCATCAACTTACCACTTTCTCCCTGGGACTCCTTGTCTGTGAGCAGTGGAGTGGAAGAACTGGATTGAAGGCACAGTTCCTCTTCTCTGTGAGGATTTTGAAAAAGCAAAACTTAAATTAGAAGGACTTCCTAAGAGCTGGATAATGCCTCATTCCCTCCTAACTACCAAGAGTGGCCAAAGCCTGGAATGACCATGACTTTAGTATAGCTGGGATTAAAAAATGTCAAAAGAAAAATGTTGTCGAAGTGAAGGGATGCAGCTCATGGAGGCCATGAGAAACCTGTCTTAAACCAACCACAAAACATTCTTTTTCAAAACCTTACTCGTGACCTGCCAAGTGGCGCTCTAGTGACTGCAGAATCTGGGCCGCTGGGGCCAGGGACACGAGGGCTCCCACCCACTGACATGACTGCTCTGCACTGTGCTCCAGTGAGCTCTATGACTGCTGGAGGATGAGGCAGAATGGCGGCCTCGACAGGCGATGTGATGGCCACAGGACAGGAGGGTGAGTCCAGTGGGCACTTTACTGCCACTCCTCTAACACTAGATTCTTTAACTTGCCAAATTGGAGTTGCACAAGGCCCAAGAGCTAAAGCCATTTCTGCCCCTTCCTTCCCTCTCATTTGTCCACAAAATAAATGGTAACTGGAAGACAATGACAATTACCTGGTTTTCTTTTGCAGTACTGAGGTTTGAACTCAAGGGTTACACTTTGAGCCACTCCACCAGTCTTTTTTTTTTTTTTTTGGATATAGGGTTTTGTGAACTATTTGCCCAGGCTGGCTTTGAATCACAATCCTCCTGATCTCTGCCTCCTGAATAGACAGGATTATAGGCATGAACCACTGGCACCCAGCTTACCTGGTTTTCTTAGCTGGCCTCTCTGGTGTCTGGGAACGGGAGGAGGCTGGGCTAGAGAAGGGGGATGAGGTGGGACCACTCTTCTTCCAAAGCTGAAAGTCAAGCAGAGCTATGTGACTGAGCCTACTTATAACATGACTGTACATGAGAAAGCCCTAAAGATTCAGATGAATATCTAAAATTTAGCAAATTTTCTGAATACAAAATTACACCACCAGGACACTCACGTTTAAAGATACAGCAAACACATATACCTAGGAGTAGTCTAACAAAAGAAAAATAAAACCTTTACATAAGATCAGAGGTAATTTAAGTAAATCAGAGGATATGCTACGTTCATTGGGAAGAACAACTAGGATGACTATTTTATTGGAGGACCTTGGCACAGGGATGGAAATATAGAACACCTGGGCAGAACAGGGTCTAGAAAATGGATTCACGTTAATGTGGACATTTATAGGATAACAATGTTGGTGCTTCACAGCAGGAAGAAAAAGGAAGTCTAACAAAAGAAAAATAAAACCTTTACATAAGATCAGTATGCTACGTTCATTGGGAAGAACAACTAGGATGACTATTTTATTGGAGGACCTTGGCACAGGGATGGAAATATAGAACACCTGGGCAGAACAGGGTCTAGAAATGGATTCACGTTATCTGTGGACATTTATAGGATAACAATGTTGGTGCTTCACAGCAGGAAGAAAAGGATGGAGCTTTCAATAAAAAGATGCTAAGAGAAATGAACATTCCTAGGGTAAAAAATTTTGGACTTTATCATAGAGCTAAATGCAGAAGGCAAAACAATAAAGCTTCCAGAAGGTAGCACAGAAAATCATTGTAACCTTAAGGAGGCAAAGACTTCCTGAACAGTACACACCATATACCACTAGTCACGAGAGAGCAAGAAGGCAAACCACTGAGCAGGCTTGTTTATTGGCACATGGCAACTGATGGAGGGCTTGCATCTAGAAGCTGCAAGAGCAGTACTCTTTTTGCAGTACTCAAGAGTTGAGCGCGGGCCTTGTGCTGGCTAGGGAGGCGTTCTACCACTTTGGCCTTAAGCCACCCTGCCAGCCCTTGAACAGGACCTTTAGGACCTTTTTTTTTTTTTTTTCTTTTATTATTCATATGTGCATACAAGGCTTGGGTCATTTCTCCCCCCTGCCCCCACCCCCTCCCTTAACACCCACTCCGCCCCCTCCCTCTCCCCCTACCCCCTCAATACCCAGCAGAAACTAATTTGCCCTTATTTCTAATTTTGTTGTAGAGAGAGTATAAGCTATAATAGGAAGAACAAGGGTTTTTGCTGGTTGAGATAAGGATAGCTATACAGGGCATTAACTCACATTGATTTCCTGTGCGTGTGTGTTACCTTCTAGGTTAATTCTTTTTGATCTCACCTTTTCTCTAGTTCCTGGTCCCCTTCTCCTATTGTCCTCAGTTGCTTTTATGGTATCTGCTTTAGTTTCTCTGCGTTAAGGGCAACAAATGCTAGCTAGTTTTTTGGGTGTCTTACCTATCCTCACCCCTCCCTTGTGTGCTCTCGCTTTTATCATGGGCTCAAAGTCCAATCCCATTGTTGTGTTTGCCCTTGATCTAATGGAACAGGACCTTCTTAAAAGAGGGTATACAAAGAGTCAATAAACAGCTCAAACCACAATAAAATGCTGCTTCGTACCCACCGACAACACTAAATGTTGGTGAGGATATGGAACAGGACAGAATCTTGTGCTGCTGAGAGTATAAATGGAAACACGAAGAAATGGCTCAGCAACATGTGCCTAAACTGAACACACATACTTTGCACGTACACCAAAGACTTGTAAGAATGTCCATAGCAGTACCCCAAATGGACAAAACACCCAAATGGACACAGAAGTGTTTGGTTAAATTGTCATAAACTCAGCTTATGGAGCAGTACAGAACAATGAAAACCATCCGCTGTAACACGCGACGACACTGATGAATCTCACAGGAAATGCTGACGGAAAGAAGTCAAACACAAAAGAATGCATGTTGTTATGTTTCTGTTTATACAAAATTCAGATATATAAAGTGTTAAGATTCAGAAAAGAAAAAAGGAAGGACTAGTGATAGGTGGGAAAGGGAGGCACTTGACTGTTGAAAAATCTTTTACTACTTGATCTGTGGGTGGTGTAGTTCAAATTATTGTATTTTTGTGTGTACTATACTATAATCTTGAGAAGTCATCAGCACTTAATTTTTGTGCTTTTCTTCGGTGGTACTGTAATTTGAACTTAGGGCTTTGTGCCTGCTTGGCACAAAGGTGCTCTACCATTGAGCTTAATGCCTTCAGTCCTTTTCGCCTTGGTTATTTTGGAGATGAGGGCTGCTTTTTGCCTTGGACAGCTTGGACCACAATCCTATTTTAAGCCACTGTCGCTGGGATGACAGGTGCACAACGCTGCACCCAGCTCCGGGCTGACATGGAGTATTATGAACTTTCTACCTAGCTGGCCCTGAACTGTGGTCCTCCCAGTTTCAGCCTCCAAGTAGCTAGGATCCCAGTTGTGAGCTACTGGCATCCAGCTCCTTACTGGAAGATTAAAGATGAGCAGGGGAGAAAGCACTGTGGAATAAAACCACACACAGACACTAAAGACACCAGCAGCTCTGCACCTTGTTTGTATGAATCGTTTTGGATTCACACGAGTCCCTCTCAAGCTGCCTAATGCTTTTGAACAGTTACATGGATTTTAGCTCGTAGAAACAATGAATGAGCCATCTGACCATCGTGCACAAAAGGTTCACTTACACCATTTCCCAAATTCTGCATTATCAGTCTCCTTGCACATGTCTCTGAGTGTGTGCAGGGTAACTTCTGAAAAGCAGAGCTGTTGGTGGACTTTGAACATGGACAATTCCTGCCACAAGCCTCTAAAGCTGGAGACCAACTGACTCCCACAAGCTATGCACAGGAAGCCAGCCTCCACTAATCCTGCTGAGTTTCTATTTTACACTTAAACATTTGCAATAGTTTCTCTAACTATTCCAAATACTCTAAAAAATGAGAAAAGGCCAATAGCCCTTCAGAAAAATAGGCAAAATACATGAACTAACAGTAATAAGAGAATGAAAAATAATCACCCTACATATGAAAACATAATCAAACTCACTTAGGAGAGGAAAATTAGTGTCAACTTGGTGATTAATCTCTCTGTTGGTGAGGCCAAAGGAAGATGGTCACTGTCCTGCAATGTAGCGGGAAAGCTAGCTGGTGTGCAGTCTCTGGAGGGGCCTTTAACAGTATGCAGCAAGATCACACAGGCATTTGACCTCTGACCGGGAGACTGATGACCATGTGGACAGAAGGATTCTTTGCAGCTCTTTAGCAGCAGAAGACTGAACAAACCAACATCTGCCAACAGGGGAAAAGAGTGACTGCACAGTTCTAAGAAAAAAGTGAGCTGCTTTACTCATTTTATTCTTTTTGAAGACAGGTTCTTGTTATGAAACCCAGGGTGGCCTCAAACTGTATCCTCCTGCCTCCACCTCCTGAGTTCTAGGACACACCAAGGTATCATTGCCTTTATTAACACAGGCTTCTGAGGTCAAAAAGACTTACTATGACTCATGTTTTCATCAGGTTTTAGGGATTTCTGTGTTTTCATTTTTGCTTTTGCAGTACTGGGGACTGAACCCACAGCCTCACACTTGCTAGACAAGAGCACTGCCACTGAACTACATCCAGCCCTTTTTTAAGATAGGATCTCGATATGTAGCCCAAACTGGCCTGGAGCTTGGGATCCTCCTGCCTCAATCTTCTTAGTACTAGGATTACAGGTGTGTACCACCATGTCTAGCATGTGTTTTTTGTTAAACCTAGTTTTGTTTTTTATAACGTAAGATACTTAAATTGTTCCAAAGAACATTCACTAGACAAGATACACTGAGAAGCAGTTTCTATCCCTTGTCATTTCCCATTGTTCCCTTCCTCTACAGTTTTATTACTCTTTGATTAACCTTCCAGTGTTGTTTTTTTAAACTTTATCCAAATCTGTACACCCTCACCTTACATTTCAGTTAAACAACATATACAGGTCTGAACTCGTGTATGTCACTTGTTTTGGACTTTTGTCTCAAAACCCAAAAAACACTGACACTGTTATTTTGAAATTGTGTGTGGGCTGGGGGCGTGGCTCAAGTGGCAGAGTCTGCCTACCAAGGGCAAGGCCCCGAGTAACCTACAGTGTCAGGGAGGAAGGAAAAAGAGAAAAAGAGAAGAGAAGCTGGCATGGTGGCTCATGCTTATAAGCTTAGCTACTCAAGAAACTGAGATTGAAGGGAGTGTGAATCAAGCCCAGTCTAGGAAAAGTTCATGATACCCCTCTTAACAATAGCTGGGTGTGGATGGTGCACACCTGGCATCCCCACTATGTGGGAGACACAAATAGGAGGATTGTGATCCAGACCAGTCCAGGCATAAACATGATACCCTATTGCAAAAATAGCTAAAGCAAAAAGGGCTGGGCTGTGGCTCAAGTGGCAGAGCAAGTGCAAGGTGCTGAGTTCAAACCCCAGGTCCACCAAGAAAAAAAGGGGCAGAGGGGATGACAGGGGAAAGGAACACACCATGACGATGTAAACTAAATCCAGACCACGGGAAATTCTGAAGAAAATGATCCATTTTTTTCAGTAGTAGGAAGAAAGGACAGTAGAAGCACAGATTAGTAGGTTATAGATTTATAGAACAGAAGAACCTAAGACACAAAGATAACAAATCAATTTCTTATTCAAAGTAACTGGAATAAGGTAGTTTTGGGGAAAGAGGGCAATGTGACCACTGAGTAACATTAACAACTGAAGAGTTATTATTAAGTGTTTAAGGATAATGGTATTGTGATTACTGATGTTGAAAGTTTTTAACAATCATCTACCTGGAGGTGAAATGACATGCTTGCAAGTAAAAACCCACAAGCAAAGCAAAGCAAACTGGGGGAGCTGAATGAACAGGACAGAAGCAGACAACTACTTCAGTGATGTGGAGGTGCATCATGGTGTTTTCTCCTCTGCACATACTGGAAATGTTGTGACACGGTACAAGGACGCATGCATACTCAGTAGGGCTGCTGCCGGGATTAACAAGGAAATACACACAGAGGGCTGAGGTCGGCCTCTCGGAGAACCAGAGAAACAGTGCTCAGTATAAAGGCCATGGAAGGGCCTCTCTGCTCCATGCACACAGCCACTCTGCCTCAGGCTGCTACCCTCAACTGTAGTACCCTAAGGCCTGCATGATGAACCTGTGGTAAACCAGTCTCCCCTCCACTTGTAGCTACTGACAGGCAGTGGGCGGGTGCTTTCAAACATTACCTTCCATCATCACACCATCCCTCAGAGAGGACAAAGAATACTTCAGTAATTTACCTACCCAAGTCCCTACAGCTACTGAGGGTCAGAGCCAAGATTTGAACCCAACCCTGTCTGCAGCAAAGCCTTCTCTCTCTCCTACACTACACAAATCTCCCGTCTAAACAAGAATGGCAACCACTTACTTAAAAATCTTGTGCCCACTTCTAAATGTCTAAATCCCTTTTATGACCCAGTGCAACCCAGACTCCATTAACCTTTTCCATTTAATTGGTACCATTTTTTGGAACTATTCTTCCTTTGCTCATCTACCTGCATCAATATCAGGTATCAGTTCTACTTTCTGGGTTTTTTGCTCGGTTCCACTGGTCTAGATTTTATTTCCTGTATTAGTTAGTAAGGCTTTATGTCTTCTGTTAGTTTAGAGACATACCAATGTGTGAGACACAGGAGGCCAGTGATCACTTGCTCATCAATTATGTGATGTGGGAAGCCCCACCCTGGCAGCAGAGCTGCCTCTGTACCTGTGAGATGCCCCGGGTAGAGCTGTAGGAACTGGTGATGGCATTGCGGCTGGAGCTAGGGATGCCACCTGTGCACGTGCTTGTCAGGGAGCTCACAGAAGAGGTGCGCGACCGCTTGTTCAAGTGGTCCTCTGAGCTCTGGGAAGTGAGACCTCTCTTCAGGGACCCAGGTCTAGTAAAAGAGAAAATGTTAGGCACATAATGAACGGCAGCATTTTCTAAGACACCTTTCTTAATAAATCTCAAGGGAAGATGATTATGCCCTGAATTTGCAATATTAATGACTTGGCTAAGTATAGCTGACAAAGTCAAGTAGGAGAAGCCATGTATTTAAAACCTTAAATGTGATCCCATTTATGTAATATTCTAGAAAATGAACACTAATTTACAGTAGCAGAACAGCGGCTGCCTGGGGCTGGGGTGGGCCTGGAGTGAAGGATTACAGTGAGGCTATGGGGAATGCTTGGAGGTGATCAATGTTCTCATTACCCTGTGATGGTTTCACAGAGGCAGACATGGCAAAACTTAACCCATCATACTTACACAGGTATAGCTTGTTACATGTCAATTACACCCACTAAATAAAGGTACTTTTAAAAATCAGAGTTCAACTGGGCATGGTGGTGCATGCCTGTAATTCCAGCACTCAAGGAGGAGGATCACGAGTGCTACACAGGGAGACTCTGTCTCAAAAAACAAAACAACACAAAAAATCAGAGTTAAGAGTAACCAACTATTTTTTCTTTGCCTCCAACCAAAACAGAAATTCACCCTCTAGCCTTCCTGTAGGTCAGCCATCTACGCTGTGCTGTCACAATAGTCACCTCACCACCCTACAGAGTAATCCACATCAACCCCCATGCCAGCTCATTCACGGTGCATTAAACTATGTTTCCTTTACCTTTTACCCAGGGATCCTATCTGGAGTCCAAACAGGCAGGCTGTTTGCCTCTTTCGAGGACCACCGGCCTTCCTCCCTGACTTCCTCATTTCCAGCCATCAAAACATCCTCATGCACAGCCACTGCCTTTGGCTGTTTCAGGTTGCCTAATGTCCACATTGCTTATAAAACTCTCTTGTAGTGCTATACTATGAACTAATACAGGCTCTGTGGACAGTCTGAGCAGAACTACAGGAAAATAAACTGCCATTTCCTGGCCCCGTTCCAGTTTCTCCTAACAGCACAGACAAGGAGCACAGGTGCTGTCATGGCAGCTGTATCACTCTGCTGACTCAAGTCAGCAGTCACCTGTCTTCTCATACATGTATGAGCCACTTTCTCTTGCACCCAATTCTTATTCTTCCTCTAACGTATTTTTCAACTCAAACGTAGAAACTTAATGATTACCTTGAATTTCACATTAGTGCGTCTCATCTATTGTACAAACTTTACATTTCTTGTTTGATGACCCAGTCATTAAATATGTTTTTTTTAAGTCTCGCACATTAATGCAAAAATGTGGACTGGAATTGGATAGAAGATTGTGGTAAGTTACTTGAAACTGATTTTAAAGACATGAACTTGGAGGAAAGCAAAGAGGAAAATCTATTGGGCAACAGTCTTGCTAATTATACCCTTCTCCCAAATAGCTGACTCTTGCTTACTTAGGCACAAAAGAAGCAGGGACTCCGTTGGCCACGAGGGGTTCAAATGCTGAATGTCCACTCCCACTGCTATCATGGCGCCTGTGATAAAAACCAAAAATTCTTAAAGAAATGTCACTTTTTTCCCCCTTAAAGCATATTTTCGTGTTCCTGGGACTTTGTGCTACCGCTGTGGTGTGTAAATGTCTAAGCTTCTGAAAGGCAAGTCTGCTCTAAGACTATCCTGGTGACAAAAGACAGCAGAAGGTACTTTAGGAGATTCTGAACTGCAGGTATATCAATTTTTGATTTGCTAACTTCGCAAAATATTACAAGTCATAAATTTAACGCCCCACCATCCATAACTATTAAAAAAAAAAAAGCAACAATATTTTAAGGACCAATTTGCATACCCCAGTGTCCAGTGGTAATACACCAAGTCTGTAAGGACGAACGACACAGCACACCTCAGAAGCATGTACACGTGGTGCACGAGCATGGAGAGAATGCTGAGTCCTCAGCTCTAGGAGCACCAGGGCCAAGAAGAATTGCCTCCTTGGAGACCAGAGAAGCCTATGCGCCCCCTCAGAACAGCTGTTACTTCCTCCCACCTTCGCTATTTCCGCTCAGCTAGCCAATGTGAGCAGACTGCACACTTGCCCTAAATTTGATTTCTACCTGTAGTCATCATCACCTATCTTCTGCATTACATAAACAAACATGCAGGACTAAAATTTCTCTCCCTAATTTTATGATCTAGTGTCAAAGACAGTCAATTTTGAAACTATAGTAGTGTAGGTTAACAGGGACAATGTGACACTTTCCAGGCAGAGGGTCCACTCTCCTCAGAGCTCTTCCTAGACTACTTTATATAAAGAAGCCCCTCACTGCCCTCTAGCACCCTATTTCTTATCCTCCTCTGCTTAGAATCAATTTGTTTATCATTAAAAAACAATTGCTTGTTTTCCTCAAAAAAGTCCCAAGAGGATGGGGATTGTTTTCTTCACCCCTCACCTGGAATAGGGTCTGGCAGAGTGGGTGCTTGCTAAGTATTTGTGGAATTAAAAATGTGATGTGGAGAACTGGGTGGACGCAGCTCAGTGGCAGAGTGTTGTGAGCATGCGTGAGGCCCCGTGGTTCTGCTCTCAGCACCAAGCTGGGGAAAAAGTGGAATCCTTAATTGACTTTCTGAATCCTAACCAACCACTTCAACCTCCTCTGTCCATACTTAGGAAAATGCAGCAGCTATTTTCATGAAGCTATCACGTACAGGAAATGAGATCATTTTACTCATCCCTGGTAAACCTGCTCTGCTCCAACTCTCACTTTTCTTTAATAAGTATTTCCTTCAGCACAGTTATGACATTTAAACTGGTGGTTACCCAAATAACTGAACAACACAAAACTGTGAAAAGACCGAGCAATGTCTCCTGAAAATAAAATTTAACTCCTCTATATTAAAAACTGGAGGCTAGAACAGGTAGGAGCTGTCAGCTTATCTCTATTAGTTATGGAAAATTGCAATTTATCTAATCTGTGCCTTAAGACATGAATCACACTGAAGAGTTATAAACAGTTCTATAAAAACCAAAGGAGGGATTTATTAAGGGTCAAACTGGAGTTGGCCTCTGCAATGTTATGGGAACCACCTATATTCCAGCAAATTCTCAGCAGCCCATGTGGGAGGCCTGGGCAGTATTCTCCTGGGACTACCTTCGCTTGTTTTCCTGGACATCATCTAGTACTTGGTCTTCTTCCTCCACTGCCCTTTTCTTCCTCTCTCTGAGGGCATTTAGCACAGTCTCTTTTGCACACGGGTCCCGGACATCACTTGATGACGAGGACAGTATCGACGTGGTTATCTGCTCTGATCTGTGACGAAAGTCAAAATTCTAGCATCAAGATATTTTAAATACCATGCCACACTGCAAAGACTTAAAGTCACTGGAAACCAAAAGCTGACCAACAAGCAAAGTATACGTTATACCCTCACAGAAACTGCCATTGGCAATGAAAAAAATAAAATCCAGGTTTCCGAGGTTTTCTTTCAAATAAGCAGCTACTTCGTTTGCTTTATCACTGTTTCATTAAAGTAACAGCCACAGAAAAAAAAAGTGAGCACAGAGGCACGTTATTCTTCCAACATTACTCACGCTGGAGAACGCATTGGTTTGCTGTTCGGAGGGGCAATTCTCACGGTCACAGGGCTGCAGACCATCCTCGAGTTACGTGCAGAGAGCACGGCCTTCTTGTGGCAACCATTCCAGCACACTGTGGGCAGCACCCCCAGTAAGGAATACTGGGCCTGCTGGATTGGGTAGCGTCTTCGAGGCGTTATGACAAACCGACTGGATAAAGTCCCAGTATTCCTGCAAAGAATGGAGATACAGCATGGAACCGAAGATTAAAAAAAGGTCAAAACATGTAAATGGATAAAGAATCGCCAGAGTCCAGACATCTTTCCAGAGAGCTAACTCAGAACACAGTATTTTAATAGCTACGTCCCATACTCCATCCAAGGACAGAAAGCGGCAGCTGCCGGACAGCTGTCTTCACCAGGGATTTCAACTATTTGAGAGGGTACTGAAAACCCTGCCCACAGATACTGTGGAAGAAAAACATGTGCTACTGGGGTGTGTTGGAAAGGAAGTTTTAATAATCTTTCAGTTGTTTATATGCTAAAAGGAAGTTTTAATAATCTTTCAGTTGTTTATATGCTAAACCATCAGAAATACACGCCCAAAGCTGAACACTTTTTAACAGATAGCTTGTCTTTTTTGCAGTACCGGGGCTTGAACTCAGAGTAATACACCTTGAGCCACTCCTCCAGCTCTTTTTTGTGATGGGTTTTTTCAAGATAGGGTCTTGAGAACTATTTGCTCGGGCTGGCTTCAAATCTCAATCCTCCAGATCTCTGCCTCCTGAATAGCTAGAATTACAGGCGTGAGCTGTTGGTGCCCATCTCTGGCTCAGAGTTTTGACAGACATCTAATTAAGAAGACTAGGCCAGGGACCAGTAGCTTACGTCTGTAATCCTAGCTACTCAAGAGGAAGAGATCAGGAGGATCGTGGTTCTAGGCCAGCCCAGGCAAACAGTAAGACCCTATCTCGAAAAACCCTATCACACAAAAACGGGCTGGTAGAGTGGCTCAAGGTGAAGACCCTGAGTTCAAGCCCCAGTACCACAAAAAAAAAAAAAAAAAAAAATCTGAGCTGGGCATAGCAGTACCACCCACCTATGACCCAGATACTCATGATGCCGAAGTATTGCAAGTTCATGGCAAACCTGGGCAAGTTAGCAAGATCCTATCTCAGAAACAAAAACGACGAACAAAAGGGCTGGGGGCATAGGTCAAGCAGGCAAAGTCTTCGGTTTAATTCCTAATACCACAGGGGGAAAAAAAAAGAGAAATTACTTAACATTTTCACCAAAATTTCTTTTGGCAGCACTGGGGTTTGAACTCAGGGCCTCACGCTTTCTAGGCAGGTGCTCTACCTCTTGAGCCGGTCCACCAGCCCTCACCAAAAATTTGTAGCGTACTCTTGCATCGCTCGGCTATTGGGACTCAGCTTTATCAATCAAGTTGTCTGAGCTCTGCTCACACATTTCTCTGAACAGGTCCAAAGGCAAAACTGGAGCCGAACACTGCGACTAACCTGGAAGGAAAGCGCTTTCCACCCGAAGCAAAGCTATTGGGCGGCGCGCCGGAGCCGGCTGCGTCTAACCTGCCCTGACGCGGCCGGCATTGCGAACGGAAGGGAGGGAAGCGGCCGGGCAACGTCTCACCCCGGGCGTTGGGAGAGCTCGAGCCCGCACGCAGTGCCGCCCGGGCTTCTTACCGGCGCGGGGGCCTCCAGGCGGGTCGCAGCAGCGGAGTGGACAGCGAGGGGGGGACGTGATGGACGCGAGGAGCTACGGCGGGGGCGGGCGGGGAGCGCGCGGGCGCGCGGCGGGGCGGCGGCGGGCCAGGCTTGCCCAGGTAGCTGCCCATGAGGAGCAGCTCGGCGGGGTCGGGCCCTTCCAGCAGGGTCCGCGGCTCTAGGAGACTGCCGTTGGCCGCCGCCTTCGCCGGCGGAGAGGCGAGCAACGTGCGCTGGCGCCGCGCGGGGCGAACGAGCGAGGACCAGGCGCGCGAACCTCGGGGCTCGCGGCTCAGTCCCCACCAGGCCGCGGTCGCCCCCACGGCCAGCCAGGCCAGCGCCGCCGCCGCCGGCACCAGGTACAGCACGAGGCCGAGCAGCGACAGGCCGAGCAGCGCCGCCCCGGCCGGCCCACCGCAGCCGCGGCCCCGGCCCTCACGGACGCTCGCAATGGGCCGCCGCCGCTCGCCTCCTCCAGCCGCCGCAGCCGCCGGAGACATCGCGGCTCCGCGCCGCGGAGACGACTTAAATATCCCAGCGTGCACCGCGCCGCGCGCTGCGGCCCCGCGCGCCGGAAACGTCACTGCGCGCGACGGAAACGTCACTGCGCGCGACGCGGATGCTGGGCCGCGGGGAAACGCCCCTGCCGGCCACGCTCGCAGCTCACCTCCCTCGGACTAGACGTCGCCCGCGGGGCCGCGGAAGAATCCTGCCACAAGTCAGGCGTGGGAGCGTTGCTGATGGCGTGAGTCTCAGTCCCTGTTTTCTAGGGACCGAATTGCCCCACTGAGACCTGCTAGCAGACACTTGTCACAACGGCCACGAGCTCTTGTGAGCATCCCCAAATATACGCGCTAACGCCAATGGCTAGTTAGGCACCACCGAAATACAGGGCACTCGCTACAGGTGGCTCCGGTGCTACTGAACTGCGGTCCCACGGTCACTACCATTTTGCCCATCGTGGTCCAGCTGCAGGGGCAGATTTTTAGGTTCTGTGATGAACTTGATGTTACAGTTGGCTGCCTTAGAAAGGTTAGTGGTGGTCTAGGGCTGAGAAATGCGGCTGAAGGGTGGATTACTTTTTTGGTGAGGTTACTTTTTTTTTTTTTTTTTGCATTGCTCCAGTACCACAGTAAATAAACAAGTAAATAAAAATAAAAATACATTGTTTTGATGCTTGCGCAACCTTGTGAGTTGTTTGGTATGTGAATTTTATGTGTGTGCACCCCGTTTTAATAGCCTGCCAATACTGACTTTGGCCTAGCTCAGCTTCCTCAGCCAGTCTTTTCTTTCATAAATTTGTTGGTTGCATTGTTGCAGAGATTATGGTGGAAAGGATAGGGTCTCTGATCTTTGGATGTTTCTCATTCAGTAAGGGAAGAAAGAAGTGTAAATAGAAAATTCAGTGTGATAATAGCTCAAAAAGAAAATTACAATTCAGTGTGGTATTAGCGCAAATAGGAGAAAAAGTGATGAAGGAAGGTGTTAGGAGCTATTCCCTCCCCCTTGCTAGCAGCTTACTGGAAACCACCCACCACTTACTGGAAAAAAAATCACATCTGGCCCCAAAGAATGGTAAAACCCCACCTTACATCACTGTAAGCAACCGACTGACTAATCACCACTTATCTCCCTTAGCTACCCCTAGCAACAAGCCAATCACAAAACTTTTCCCCACCTAATGGGTTTCTCACTCCCCTTTAACTATCCGCAATCTATAAGCAACAGTGGGCTCCAGGTCACTCCCCTCCACAGGTTCCTTCTGCCCAGTAAAACCTGTGGTGAGGTCCAGCCAGAAGGTAGGTTGGAAGGTGCTGCTGGATCTGGACAACTGGCTAACAGGTTTGAGGCAAATGAGTACTGTGCAAACATAAGAGAAGGGAAGGAGGAAGGAAGATGGGAGAACAGGTGTAGAGTAGGGTGCGTGAGGAACAGGCAAGGCTCAGCATAGATGCCTCCAGAGAAATTCAAGAGCGGAGAACAGGTCAGGACCAGCTCCTGCCCAGCCAGGTCCCAGAGCAGTTCCGCTCCTATTTGCTTAATACACTAGTTTGACAGAAGTGTTCATTTGAAAAGGAAAGCAGGAAGTCTGTCCTATCAGTGGAACAGTGGCCCAAAAGGCAAGCTGCAGTGGGCCAAGCAGTGAATGGTGAGGAAATGAAGACAGTGACTGCAGACTCCTCATTTGAGAAACTTGAATAAAGAGAGAAGAAAGACAGCATCCAGCTCAGCAGTTCCTTTAAATTATCATATGTGAGAATTTAAGTTCAGTGGAGGAGACACACATAAAAGCCATCAGTGAACAGATGGCAGGGGTCTAAGATTATTGAGAATTAATGAGAGAGTCCAAGGCCTGAGCCCTGGGGCATCCTTGTATGTAGAGGTCAAAGTGATGGACACACGAAATGTACAAATCAGTGTAATACAGGTAAGTATGACATTAAGATTTGGTACTTCTGTAAGGGAAAACACTATGTACATATAAAAGGCAAGCAGAGACTGAGGACAACAACTCTAACACATATCATCAAAAGAAGATTAGTTAGTAGGGTTAAGAAACTCCAGAGGATCATAACAAAAAAGTTACAAAATGGGACAGTTGCCATAAAGAGGAATTTATTGAATGGGAAACCCAAATAGCCAACAATAAGTACATGCGTGTTTATCCTCACCAGTAATCTAGGAAAGGCTTGTTAGGGTAATAAGATGCCATAACATAATTTTGAATCATTTGCATAGTGGAAGAAGTTATGCGTACACATATACTGTGGGGAGCAGCATGACTCCAGGTAAGGCTAAGGACATGTGTATTTCTGCATACAAAGATAGTCCTTAAAGCATCATTTGTATTATTGACAATCTGGACACATCTAAATGTCTAACGTCTCCTAACACGAGATGGATGAGAAATGGTATAGTTCAAGTGAAAACTCAAAGCAGCTGAAAATCAACCACCTTTCTATCTCTGACGAAGCCCAGTTCTCTTGCTATGAATAATGACAAAAGTGGGTATTTATAAGGCAAGTGCTGTCAGGTAGAGGATGACAAAACTATGAACCCTGAGAGAGAGGAGACTCATGGGGTGAGCCCCCAAATCACCTCACTCCTCCATCTAGCTGGGGACAGTTTCCTGGTACCAGTGCAGAGAACTGACATTTGAGCAAAGTAGGGAGATCTCACTGGGCTAAGGAGGCAGATGAGATTGGAGACTGCTGAAATGGCTGGGTGCAGGGCAGAGGAAGGGAAAGGAGGGCACCATGAAGACGGATCCAGGAGTCCGTGGGCATGGTGAATCTGTGGCTGGAGGCTGACATAATGGTTAATTTTACGTGCCAACTTGACTGGGCCATGAGGTGCCCAGATATTTGATTAAACATTACTTCTGGGTGTGTCTGTGAGTGTATACTACCTGAAGTATTCTGGATTTTCATCTAATAAAGATTGCCCTCCCCAGTGTGGGTGTTCTTCATCCAGTCCACTGGAAGAAAGCATGATTAGAGCAAAAAGGCTGGTGAATCTCCCCTCTGCCTGAATGTCTCCAACAGGAATACTGGTTGGCTCTTGCTTTCAGACTAGGACTTGGACCAGAACTCATATCACTGGCTCCTGGTCTCCAGCCTGTTGACTGTGGATCTTAGGACTTTCCAGCCTCCATAATCTGTGAGGCAATTCTTACAGTTGTTTTCCCTCAATATACATTCATCTCCTTCTGGCTTTGTGTCCCTGGAGGAGTGTGACTGCCCACAGCTGACCTGTATATACATGGAGCGAGCTATCCGGAGCTTACAGGGAAGCAGGCACTACAAGGGTATGATTAGAAGGCATTCGAGGTTACAGCAGGCTAGGCCTGGGGTAAGAGCATTGTGGGGGATCAAGCCCTGCCAAAGCAGAGCGATTAGTAAACGTGTCTTTAGCATCTGCAGCATCCACTGACTTAGAGCAAAACCTACATTCCACGTCTGTCCCCAGGTCTGTGGCTCACACATTAGAGCACCTGCTTTGCAAGTGTGAATCTCTGAGCTCAAACCCCAGTCTGAGATCAAACAGAATTCAGAGTATTGTTCACAATGTGCAATAGTAAATAAAAATTAGAATAATACAAAGAAACAAGCAAATGTAATCCACGGTTAAAAAAAAAAAACCACACACACACACATACACTACAACCAGGCATAGTGGTGCACACCTGTAATCCCACACTTGGGAGGCTGAGGCAGGTGGACCATAAATTTGAGGCCAATGTGGGCGGGCTATAGAGAGGGACTCTGTCGCAAAAAACAAGAAACAGCAACAACAACAACAACAAACCCAAAAGTAGCACATATAAATGAATTCCAGACAGCCCAAATGTTACCTTAGCCAACCAAGAGTCTAAAGGGGCTTTTAAAATATGTCCAAACCAAAAAAAAGAAAAAAAATAAATGAATTATGTCCAAAGAAATAAAAATAAGGCAGTCTTGGTAAGTAAACAGATACTGAATATCTGCAGAGAAGTAGAAATTACAAGGCATAAAGAAATAGAAATGCTAAAATTAAAAAATAAATTGAAACCAAACGCTCAGTGGAGAGAGAGCAACACATCGGAGACGGCGGAATAAAACAATTATGCTTTCTCACGTCTCATCATTGAAAGAGCTGATGGTTGCACTGGTGGCATGGCTTAAGTGGCACAGGGCTGCTTAGCAAGTGTGAGGCCCTGACTTCAATCCCCAGTGTTAAAAAAAAAGAACTCATTGTTAAAAAAAAATAAGATTCTGTGATGTGGGGTTTCTAACAAGCAGAAAAGTAAAAGGGCTGGGGGTGGCGGTGGCGGTGGCGGTGGGGCGGATAGATCCTGGCAAAGCCATCACACAGGTGAAGTGGAAGCTGGAAGTGGGACATTTGCAGTGCCAGGTGCGAGGTGAACAGGGGTCTGGTGAAACAGGAAAGGCAGCGACTGTGTCTTGGGTCATAAAACAAGCTTTAATACATGTAAGAAGAAAAACATGTTCTCTGACCGTAGTGGGGTTAAGCCGGAAACCAGTAACAGAAGCATAAAAGGAGAACCTCCAACACTAAGTAATCCATGGTCAGAGACAAGCCTCAGGAAAATCAGAAAGAATTCTGACATGAGCAACAATAAAAGCGTAGTATATCAGGAATCTGTGGAGTGGGACTTCTGCCTCTGACCATGAAGGAAAGACAGGGAGCCCAGTTAATCCTCCTCATACAACACCGTTAACAATGAAACCATAAAATTTATGAAATTGTTTTTCAGGACATTGCATATTGGATGACAATCACTGAGAGTCAGGAAATAAGGCGAGTCCTGCAAACATTACATTAAAAATAAAAATAGCAGATTGGCAGAAATACATATATATATATTTTTTTTCTTCTTTTTGTGATGTCAGGGGTTGAACCCAGAGCTTTGCATACACTGAGCAGCTCTAACCTACATCCCCAGCCCAGAAGACATTTTTTAAATGATCCACCAATGCTATCCACAAAGGCTTACTGTAGATGAAAAGACAGTAGGTTT